GAACCTACAAAACTGTATCTTCTAAAAAGGGCAGTAGAGCAGACCAGAGTAAGGAGGAGAGGAGAGTCGACGAATGTGTCCAGAATCCCAAACACATCATCGAAAAGCCAAATGAGAAATCATCCTCATTACCGTCCTCAGCTGTTCTGTCCAATTACAGCACGCTGAAGCTTTATTGCCATCAAAGAAACTACTGAGTATGAGAATCTCAGTGAGAGCAGACTCATCCCTCGCATCCTAAGAGGGATTTAAAAAAATAAAACGAGCACTGAGAATTGTGGCCTTGGCTGTGGTTGTCAAGTTTTATGACTTTAATATATGAACATATAAAAGAACATTTTTTTGGAGCGCATGAGCTACAGGGGTTGAAAAATTAATGAAAACACTGCATGAACAGGGGATTTGCCTCCTGCAAAGGTGGGTCGGTGCATTCCAACACCCCTATATATTGTGCTATAGAGCCTATATACAAAGGTATCAGTTACATCACCGCTGGTTAGATCCAGCTTTTGATTCTTCTTTGTTGGTGTGCTGTGTAGTAACCATATTTTAAGTGATTTTTGACATATACTGAGAGCTACAGTTTTCCACTTTCAGATTTTTGGTTTATAAAATGGGTGAAATTCTGCTTTATGTTTAAAAAAAAAAAAGTGAGGTTTTAAACGTGTCTTCCTTCCTGTATACAATCAAACATCAATATCTAAAAATAACTTGACAGAGGAACATGGCAATTAAACTTCAGCTCGATAAATCAATAAGTATTTCACAACCCCCAGTATAAATTGTAGCTAGAATGAAAGAGGGAATAACTGTAAATGCAGCACACACATTGCATTGATCTTACTGGACTTTTGAAGAGTGACGTCTCATTGTCCCTCTCACACACACACAAACACAACATGCATGGCCATACCGGGGTGGGGGTGTCAGGGAGGGAGCAGTGCCTCTAATCTTAGGCATGCAGCACTCACACATCCTCAGCTGCAAGTGTCTGCAGATAAAGAATATTCTGAGTACATGACAGCTTGTGGTGTCCCACTACAGAATGAAAATAAACATTCAACCAATACATCTCTCATACGGTCGCATACTCTCTAAGCTTGACAACAAGAGCAGAACCTGTTATCACTCTACGTCTTTAGAATAATTACTTCATGTTGAATTACCTCATGCATGTCCTGTTTTTAACTGTTGTTTCAAAATATCTGTATATCGACAAGTGGAAGGTTCTAAAAGGTCAGAGCAATTATTTCCCATCACAGAGTCCTATTCTCAAATCTGTCAGGTTCTGAAGTACTTTGTAGCATGCAGGCACACAGCCACATACCCTCATACTGCAGATAACCGAGCTACCGGTTGAATATCAAAGTGCACACACACACAGACAAGTCAAGTTATTTTACCTTTTTAAGAAATCCTTTCCCCCTCCTGCCCAATACAGATGTAGACATTAGGAGTGCAATGCACGCTGTGCAATAAATGTTGCAGCCATACAGAAAGTTTCACTGCTTAAAAACTTCCACTGAAGAATATTTTTAGCAGTATTTGCATTACAAAAAACAGGAAGACGAACAGTTTCACAATTCAGGCCTTGAAAATACATTCAAATACCCTCCTCGGCTCGTTTCAAGGGTTTTAGAATATATGTGCTAAATCAGATATGGGGGTCTCTCTGGATCTGAAATGTCTTCTTCTCAGATGGAAATTTGTTGATTGTGGAGTTTGTGACCTATATTCTTACATATTCGAAACATGTTGTTTTGATGGAAAGTGCTTCTTCTTCAAAACTGTCTTGAGTGCTTTCATGTTTCAATCAAACAATGCACAAAATGTTCTCATATACAAAATAACCAAACCAGAGCTAGAACCATTATTAACTGAATGATGACAGACAATCAGAAGGAATTTATCAACAATTATTTTGAGCATAAATTAACTGTTTGGTCATTTTTCAAGAATAAATTTGAGAAATTGCTGCACCGCCTCTAAAGTTCAAGCCTTTTTAGATTTCTTGCGGTTTGTCATTAATGATTGTCAAACACAAAAAAAAAAAAAAAATGGGAATTGTTTCTGCTTTTTTTTCCCTCCTTATATATGCAAAGCAGTGCTGTTGTTTCTGTGTAAAATGAATAGTTACTGACACATGTAATGCATGGAGAAGATGGCCTCACAGAAGACCTTTAAAAGCCTTATGTCACAGTAAACAACTTTTGATACTTACATCCCTTTGGTTCCATACGTGTTGTAGAACTCCATGTGGTTACAGGCTTGGATCCAGCCGATGGTCCATGTCTCTTTGCTGGCAACTGGCGGCACCAGGACCCGGGCACAGGCTCGGAAGTGCGGTGTCCGGTAGCGCAGGACCACACTGGATGACTCGTCGATGCTGGTGGGGTTGGGGTCGATGGAACTGTTCACCTCCAGGACGATGATACTGTCTCGGAAACTCTTGGGCTTACACCTGATACTCTGGATGCAGCCCATTGCATTAAATAGCAACACAATCCACAGTAACGTCCCGAGGTCTGGGGGAGAAGAAAGACGCATGGAAACAGCAAGAAAATTACCTCAGTTGAAAGCCCATCATAGTGTCCCAAGAAAAAAAAAACTGAAAGGTGTTTATTTATAGCAGACTGTCTCGTAAAAAGCCATGCACCTTTTGATCAAAAAAATACTTTCACAAAAGACGAAAAAGAAGAGCCTAGAGAAGCTTTACATCTGTGGAGCGCATGCTTTCCGGTGCGTAAAAAGCAACTTCATCAAAGAAGCGCAGGTACAATACAATTCCTGATCCGTGCCATGATGTTTCCATGCTGTCAAGTTAGGTCATCGCCACATAAATGCGATTTATCACAGGAAGACTTGACCTGTGGGCAACGTGTATCCATTGGAAAAGGTGTGCGTAAAAGTCCTGGGTAATTATTGTCTGAATAATTTACAGAGGAAGCTACTGTTACACCTTGGCGTCAGGTTCTGTTTTGCGTAATTTAAAAAAAAAAATACCCCAGGACTAACTGACGTCTGCAACTCTTATGTCCAGATGGTGACAAAAGTCATAATCACAAATTGCTCTGGACAGGGGGCACGCGGACGGCTAAAAACAGCAAATGGCAGCTCAGATGTGAGAGCTCACACTTAATGTGCAGCAGCCCGTTTAATCCGCCGTGGCCCCAATTCCTCACAATAAAAAGTGTAATTTGACGATTTAAGAGTGTTACACACTGAACGTGCGGATTAAAGGCTCATGCAGTGCAAGTGCATGAATTGTAGTCTATTTTTAGCGGACCAAAAAACAACATGCACTAAAAAAACAGAAGTCAACCTAAAAAAAACAAAAAACAAATTCACAGCAGGGCGAGATCCTGGAGGAAAAAAAAATTCAGAGTGAACGGTTTGCTCACAGTTGCTCGGTCAGAGAGGTAATTCCGTTATCTCCAGCACGCCGGCTCCCGTTATTCCTCCGCTACAGCTGCAACTGTATCTCACCGTCCCGCAGAGAGAGGTAGCATGTCCGAGAGCGCCGATCTCTACTCGAGTTTGAAATGGAGCAGCGCCGCAACATCCAGAGGACACCGCCGGGTCAACTTCAGCACCCATCTCAGCGTATCCATTCTTTTCTTTTTTCTTTTTTTTAATTTTTGAAAAGAAATAAAAACATGTTGACGTCTCCGGGGTGGGAGAAGTGTCCGCTCTGTCACATAGTTCGACAGACAAGTCGAGGTTCCTGTCTGCGCTCGGGAGGCTGCTCAGCCTAGATTCTTCCACGAGCTGTCATTTCTCCGTGCTCGTCCCATCGCTGCCACGGCAGGTTCACCCCCGCTACGGATTGGTCTCTCTCAGCTGCCTGAGAAGCAGCTTTATAAGTCTCTGTGAGACGACACTTCCGCTCCGAGCTACAGGCATGCTGGGATATGTAGGCGTTGTGGTGTCACTAGCACAATCTAAACTAACAGTGAGGGTCCCCACTTGATTCTTGAGAAATAATACCCATTGAAGAGGATTTTATTATTTATTTCAAATAGTGAAAATACAATTTAAACAAGATAGTACTTTATTATTTAGTAAGTATTCCAATTTTAATATTTTAGCTCACATCTTTAATATTGACAAGGGTTGATTACATTTTGTACACTGCCCTTTAATTTTTATACACTTTTTTTTAATTCGAGTACTATTACTAATAATAAAAATAAAAAAGAAAGAGGAGGAGGAGGCTGATGATATTTCATCTATTTCATCATCTATTAAACAGTAAAGTGGAGCTGATACCAAACCAATAACCTACAATACAACATGACACTTTATTGTCCCTTTGGGGAAATTTGTCTCAGACAGGTGCAATTCTGCTCAACTAAAAAAACTATAAAAGCAAACAACAATCCCCTTGTAAAAAAATAAGCACATGCTTATTCAAATAACAACAACATAAAAACATAAAAACAATAATCAGTAAAAAAAACAATAATCAGTAAAAAAAAAAGTTGTGATTTCATATTCCTCTCTCCAAGATAAATAACTTGGTAATAGTGGGTTGTTGTTTTTTTATTTACACTTCACTTGCCTACATATTATTCAACTTGTGTATATGTGGAACTGGTAGGCCTATTTGTTTTGTATGATTGCTATTTATGTACTATTTAATTTTCTCTTGTAACTGCAGGACACTATAATTTCTCTTAGGGGACATTAAAGTATAACTGAAATTGATCAGATTGTTTTTACAGTGTAAAATCATCTATAATACAAATAAAGTCCTCTAGGATTCAGTATTTTAAAGCACCTCTGAGTCTGGGTGGTTGACTAGTTGATGATGATAGGTTAGCAAGTACTGGTTTGTTTGTTTCTGTTGTCGCCATGTCAAGTGAAAAGCTTCTCCTTGCAGTGACCGATCATATGTTGCACATGTTGTTGTTTTTTTAAATCTACATTAACAAATTAATTTAGAAAATGTTCCCCTTGTGTCCGCCGGTCTGAACATCCACTCCTGTCCTGTCTGTGTCTGTTTAAGCACCTTGGAGAACTCCGCTCCACGCGAGAGCTCACCGCAGAGCAGGAATCAGGATCGTGCGTAAATTACGTCAAATCCGGAAGAAAGCAAATGCTGCACTGGACGGGGCTGCGCTGTCTTCACCCTTTGTTGACTATTCCAGCCGACTGTTAACTGTTTACGGGTTTTGCCTGTATCACTTCAACGGATTTATCTTCCTTCACTGCCAGCATATCAGAGGTGTTATGGAGGATTTAGATCAACTTTGAGATTCGGATTCGTCCTTCGTCTGGGTAAGATGAAAAACGCCGTGTGTTACGCATTTCTTGCAACATTTGTCCTGCTTGTTTATCGCAGCAACGCGCGCAGTAAAGCACCTGCGCTTGTGCCATGCTTTGCGTAACAAGATGTTGTTATTTTATCTCCATGCTGTAGATCTTGTTTCGCTGGATTTGCCGAGGCTGATGCCATCCAATACAGCGGCTCACGGTATAAACAGCATGGCCATCGCACATTCCAGTGGGTCTAAATATATCTATTAAGGCCAGAAGAAGGGGGAGGACTGGAGAAGGAGGTGTGTGGGGTCGGGGGGGGACATTTCACTGTCGTGGTGAATTCGCACCACTTGAACCGTCTTCCGGAGTATCAAAGAGGAGAACTTGGCTCTATACAAACATGCCCTCTGGTTACAATGTGAGATCCCGGGCTCGGGAGAGGAACAGCGTCCTGGGAAGACCTGAGTTCATGTCCCTGAACCAGCCGCCCCCCCGCGCAGGCTCCAGCAGCACCGGCGGCGGCAACAGCGGCGGCGGCGGCGGCGGGCAGGGGTCGGGCCCGGGCCCCTCCGAGACCCGAGGCAACGCGAGACGACCGGGTCAGATCAAGCATCAAACCAGCCAGCCCACTGAGGATCCCGTCGACAACGGCAGCAAGGACAGAAGAGAGTCAGGCAAAATGCCCGAGGAGGACTGCATGCTGCTCAATCCTTCCTTCAAGGGGATCGCGAAGAACTCCCTCCTCGCCATTGACATCTGTCTGTCCAAGCGCATGGGGGTCTGCGCCTACACGTCTTCCTCGTGGGGGGGCTGCCGCTCCATGGTGGCCCTGTTGGCGCTCACCGGGCATGGCATCACGTGGATTATTGGCACTATTGTGTGCCTCACGAGGAGTAACACTCTGGCCGGGCAAGAGGTCCTGGTCAACCTGCTGCTCGGTAAATGTCACAACAACACTCTGCACATATCTTAGCAGCGGGTTCAATACCCACAATGCACCACGAAGGTGGATGACTACTTTTAACCTAACACACATTGGCTGTGTCCAAAAAAGCCTCATACTGTTCTTGTGAAATATGACGTCACAATAAGGAGTGTGTGCATCCAAATTCCTGTGTATGCAAGAAGTCACCGGCTGTAAACTAGATGGGTCAGATTTTTCTTTTTTTTTAAAGCAGATACAGGAGCTCACTTGTCATACTCAACTGCTCCACAATGCATTGCAGCTCTTCAGCCATCCAATGAACAGCATGCAAATACAAATAACTGTACTGTAAGGCTACTGTGTCAGAAAACCACAAACTAACATACTGCCATACTCAAACAGTATTTACTGCATTCTGCCTACTAATGTTACTAACTAAAATGTTTCAGAGAACGGTTCATCTCAATTGTATGCCACTAGTTGGCTGGCTGGCGAGCTCCCCCATTGGTTAGTCGGAGGGCCGCAATGCATTTTGGGGCAGTTTAGTATGAGCAGTGTGTTCCTATTTTCGACTTAAAAAGTCTGTCCATTTAGTTTACATCGACGCATTTCTCACACACACAAAATTCATGCTTTGATTAAGATACTACATACTCAATGTGACGTCATATTTAGTATGAAAGTATGCAGTTTTGAACATCGCCTATAATACATTTTATATGTGGTAAAATAATATTCTAATAAGTAATGAGCTTTTTTTGTTGTTAAAGGAGCAATATGTAAGATATCTACTGAATTTGATCTTAAAATGACATCATCAGACATTAAGGAAACAAACATAAGCAGGTTTTTTTTTGTAAAATGTCACATTCCCATCTCATTTTAACAGTCAAATGTGTCCCTCATTTTGAGTATTTGTTGTGGGAAATGTAAGAAAAGGGCTGTCTGACACCTACCCTGCTGCAGAGGTTTCACACTTAAAACATGACTACATAGAAATAACCAATCTTCTTCCTGATGGCCTTGGTTGCTTTTATAGGTCATATAGTGGCATCAGTGTTAATTTCAGTCGCTTTAATAAACAGCTAAAAGTTCCTCGCAGTAGCTTTAAAGAGTCCTGACATAAGTCCACCATGAGTAAGATCTTGGCAGCAATAGAAAGGAAAAACTTCAATCTAACAGGCAGAACCGGACTCACTGGTCGATAGCCATCTACCGCCACTGTAGATAGATGGCTATGTAGATGTAGAAACACTGTACTGTGTTTTAAAGCAGGTGCACATGCGCGCACACTTACACAGTCTGGACCCCAAAAAACAGATTACGAACTCCGATTAGAAGCTAGTAAATCCCTGGATTTAGCACACTGTTGTATTGTGTTTGCGACACTGTTCAGCCTCGAGGATTTGGTCATTATTTGTAGATCCAGGATCATTGGTAGCCTATTTAAGTCCGTCTGGAGAAAATCTGCACGAGCACTGAACTGTGGGTGGGGGACTTGTATTTAATAGTGACTGAAATTCTGTTGTGTTTTCATCTAAGAGAAAAGTAATCAGCCTCGACCGGCCCGTCAGTGCTGGTTTGATTCAGTCCAGCACCATTAGAATATGAGCTATGCAGTGCAGAAACACTTCCCTTAAAATGTTTTTAGAAAGCCGAGTTTATTCACACAATGGCTTGTACTGTCTAAAAGACTACTGAGCATGCCTGAGACTCCACTGCAGACCTTGGCTGTGCAGAGGATGTTCCCTTCCTTATCAAGTGCAGTGTACTGTTTGGTTTTAGACTTCTGTGAATCTCGCTTAGTGCACTTTTCAAAGAAAACATATTCACTTCACATCATGCACAATCCATTAATTCAGAAGGGAACGATGTAGACATCTGGTAGATGCTCAAGGCATAAAATGGTGCTAAAACATCCCGGTCCTGTTTTCACTTTTTATAACCTCAGCATGAAGGAGGTCCTTTCAGAACAGTTTACTCACAAACATGTACTCTGTTTCAATATTTTATAGTTTGAAACTGGAGTGCCACAACGTTTTAAGCATAAAAATGTGGTGAAACAGACTTGCATGAAACCTTTTTCAGAAATTCACCAACTTTCCCCTAAAAGTTTATACTTGATATATTAATGGAAGATTTTCAAATCATGTTGCGTCAGTTAAAAGCCGCTTCTTGTAAATTCTGTGCGATACAAACACATGATTGCAACAACATCCATGCCATTACTTTCCCCACTTGTGCAAGGATAAACGAGGCACAGCCTTGTGTGAAACGCCAAACTACTTTGTACTGTTGTTGAGACCTCAGGGAGGGTTCGAGGCCATGCTCACACAGCTGTTGTCTTTGATTAATCTTTCATCATGCTCCGTGGAGCACACAGATAACTCAGTATCTCGAGTTTTATTACCTGTGTGCAGCTCTTCACTTTCTGTTAGTAAAAGATTCCACAACACCGCAATCTTTAATGCGCCTTTTATCACTTATCATGTCCTTATTTACAATTTTCTAGATTGATTATGTTGCTGTTTTGGTGTGAAAGGAGTTGCTGCTAGTATAGGGACAAAACCAGAGGAAATAATGTCCCTGCCTCTAGAACACCCCTTAACGCAAATATATTTGTTGGCTATTTTTGCCTTTAATAGATAGGACAGCTGAAGAGATACAGGGAATGCTGGAGGTGAGAGTGGGGGTCAACACCTTTTTAGGTCAATTAAAAGTCCAGCTGTGGTAGCATTTATAGGATCCTATAAATTTAGGGGCATGTTGACTCCCTCTGGAATTTGACATCAGAAGAAATATCATAAACATCTTAGCTTGGTATTATCAGACACAATGGGCATTATTGGATTTCCTCACAATGCAAGTGGATCTGTGGCAGCCGCACCAATTATCTGACCACACCTGTTGGACTTTCCATCCTCAATATAGCAAGTTCCCCCCTGAACAAATCCATGTTCAGCACTTAGGATGTGACTCACCAATGAGGAGTGTTTGACTTCTCTAAACAGGTTTTGTGTCGTTGATAACTGCGCACTGACCAACTTAGGAGTTCACATCAAGGGCTGGTTGAGCTCGTGCAACGTGGCAGACTTGAACAGAAGTTGGAGAAGGCAATGGTTGGGATATATTTGGAAAAGCTATGGTGCTATAAAAAGGCTTCTGTAAATGTCTGGTATGTGTACTCAAAGCAAGTGCTACCAGTATTGTATGCCTTATTGGTTATTCTTGGTCACCAGGATATCTGTTTACATGGGAACAACAGTTGTTTTCTACTTCACAGTATATGTGATTAACATTATAAAAAAGTCCAGATTGTTCCAATGGGGCCGTTTGTTGATCTTGTAGGTTATTAATCTATTTTTTAATTAAATTACCATTATGCTTTCTGACATTGTTCACAGATTAGCCAGACTAGGCTGTATTTGGGCATAAAAGTTGCTTGGAGCTAAATGTTAACATCAACATGATAACATACTGTAAACTACAATGCGGACATGCTGATCTCTTTTGTAGCTCTCCAGAGAAATTCAAGTCTCCCAGTTTCTGACTCCATCCACTGTCCTGTCTCTAAAATAAAGGCTTAAAAAGCCCAAGAAGTTGTTGTTTTCAAAACCTTTTACTTTTTAATACCAGGTGTTTTAAACCAATATGCTCTCTGTCATTGAATCAGTCCTCCAGGAAGGGCATTTGTATAGAGCGGGGGGGGGCAACTGGCGGCCCGGGGGCTACATGCGGCCCCCATCAACCCTCAATGTGGCCCCTCAAGTCAATTTTTGCATATCAACTAATTGGAAACATTGAAGAAAACATGACAAAAATCTGCCATGAAATCATGAAAACCAGAAATATGTCCATAATAATATTTGGTCACTGGTATATGTCGAGTTAAATTTGAGACATAATTGACTGTAATCGTTTTTGTGTACTACAATTTGGCCCTCTGGCAGTGAGAATTCATTAAATGTGGCCCTTGCTGTGACCAAAGTTGCCCATCCCTAGTATAGAGTCATTGAAAGAAAGTCAGTGAAGGAGAAGTGTTACCTCGGCATAGAGCATGTTTGAAAGTCCGTGTTATATCCATTTTGGGTGACATCTTCGTTGCTGTCAGGCCGATTCCCGGTTGGATTTGTTTATTTCCCTGTTACTGGCGGATCAGCTGATCCCTAGAGTCAGGAGATGCCGGTCGCAATGGAGCAAAGCCCAACTCTGACTTAACCTCCTGACTGACTTAAAAACTGGTACCGTGAGTACCTGCTGTGTCTTTTGTTTGTTTGTGTTTTGATTGTCGCACCGCTGGTTTTCTTTTGAGTTTGTTTCCTTATTTGTTTTCGTGGCCCTGCGGTAAAACCCGGAGCGGAGTCTTGGTTTTGCAGTTTGAACATTGGACTGAAATGGACTGAACTGTGGGTTGTGGGTATACCGGAGCGGACTTTTGAACTTTGCTTTAGAAACACAGATTGTGAAAAGCGCACACACATTGCGCACATTCATTTTGTTTGCGGTGTGGTTGATACATATATCTATACATACATATATATATATATGTATATATTTGAAAGCGCATTGCTGTTTTGTTTGATTGTTTTGTGGCTCTTGCTTGTGTCATATTTTGTGCAGATTGACTATTATTTGTTTGCATTTAATTTTTATTTGTCAGACTTGACTCTGACTGGCACCCCAAATTCAAACCTTGTCAAACCTGCTACAGATTGATCGTATCAAATAGTACTGAAGTTTTAGAAAAAAACTTTAGATCTTACACACATATTTTTAACTAAAAGCTTCCACAAACTAAAGAGAGGACACTGTCTTAATCACACATACAGGGCGGCAACGTATCCGTACCCAGAAATTGCCTTTGTATTGCAACATTATATTGTTGTGCAATTCCGACAGAGTCGGGGAGTTTGTTGGAAAGTTTTGCCGATGAACAGCATGGAATTACCCAACGTTGGGTGCCTATGACTTACATTTTTATTGCCATGGATTTGAAACAGATATCAATATCACAGCCTAAAGGAAAGCTTCTGAAGCACATGGTCAATTAAGGAAGTTTAATATGGTGCAAACAGACTGATGTTTCGACACAGACAGCAGGTGTCTTCCTTCAGAGTCAACAGGGAACGATGTGTGAATGGCTTCTTTAAAAAGTCATTGACAGTTTTATGGAGGCTTATTCAATACGTCACTCATGCAGCTCATATGATACCACAATTAAAGCTACAAAAACATCTCAATAAACATCTCAGAACACAAATCAAAGAAAACAAGAAAATGTATTTCTTCATTAAGACCGTCTGGCTTCAGTTGGTGTTCAGTGTAAATATCAAGGAAGCTTCTCTCCGGAGGAGTTTAGTAATAATTTCACCGCCTCTTGATAATGGGGAGATACCCTCGAGCCACCAAAATTTTAGAGAAGCCTCTTAACCACATTTTACCTGATCTTAATGTCATGCCATTGCATAAGCTTTGTTTTTTGTGTGAATGGCATTTTTGTATTTAGCTATTTTGACTTTGGGGAAGCTTGATTTGACCCAACTTGATATGAATCAAATAAAATCTATATTATTTTACTGGTATCATATCAAAGTTTAAAATTCTGCTTTGTGACAAAGTGGTGGACAAACAGGCAGATTATTTCCCTCTAAAAGACGTTGATAGTTTTCTTTAGATAGATGTCCTCGACTTGAGATGTAAAGTTAACCAATATTTTAGAAAAAAAAACCCCACAGATTTGAAAAAAAGCCCCAAACAGAAAATGAACTTGTGTAGCAGAACGTCTTCTGTTGTCCATCTTCAATATTTCCTCAGATGTTTGGATACATCTAAAGGTCGTGTAGATTAAGTTAGAACAAGATCAACATCCGGCAGCTACATCAGTAAAATGCTGTTTTGATGTGTCAGTATTTACATCTTTTGCTTTCCGCGTTGGTTCTACATTCACTGATACTGATCTGAATCCCTTCTTTCATGACAGCCCTCATTTTTGACGTCATAACCGTGGCCGGAGTTCAGAGACTGGTGAAGCGCAGAGGGCCCTGGGAGATGATGCCGGGCTTCATGGACTGCGTCGCCATGGACACCTACTCCTTCCCCGCCGCTCACGCGAGCCGGGCGGCCATGGTGTCCAAGTTCCTGCTGTCCCACTTGGTCCTGGCAGTGCCGCTCCGCATCCTGCTGGTGCTGTGGGCCTTCCTGGTGGGCATGTCCCGGGTGCTGCTGGGAAAACACCACCTAACTGATATGGTGTGTGGGTTCGCCCTGGGCCTGCTCCACTTCAGCTTGATGGAGACGGTGTGGCTCTCGTCAAGCATGTGTCAGACTCTGATTTCCATTAGCACGCTCAGCTGGAGCCCCTTTTTCTGAGGCTTTTCCTATAAGGCTATGCTAGCACGCAAGGCTGATTTGATACACTAACTCTGCTATGGAAGGGTCTTGTAAGGATATTTTTTGAATTGCAGGTTCTGATAAAGAGGAGCCTTAATATTCGGAGTAGGATGCTGGCTTGCATGTTACATCAAAGACAGACAGGTCGAATGATCGTAAAGACCTCCAAAATGCTGCATAAATCTTACTTTCTTCAATCAACTCTATTAACACGTTTACTGCTCTTTTATTTTAATAAAGTACTGAAGAAGAAATTAGCTGCAAAACTGGCAATGATGTGAAAAAAAAGTACATTACATTTTTATGACCACGCCTCATTTTGGCCTCTCTGGACATGTTCAGATTTGTTCAGCTTGCCTTTAACGTAACACTCTACACTATAATGCTGCGTTCATGTGCTCATCAGACGGTCCCAGTTTCCGAGGTGGGAAGTCGTTCTTCCAACTTCACGTGTGTCCGCGTCGTTTCAGTTCGGAAAGTCGGAATGTTGTTACAACAGCGTGGATTGCCGCGAAGAAGATGTGAGGAAGGTCTCTGTTACGAGTTATATTTAAGAAAACGTTGATGTGCAATACGTGAATTATTTAAAAAGTATCTTAACATTAACAAAAAACGATTTTGCCCCCCATGTGATGACGATCAGACGTCAATTCAGCAAGTTGGGGACCTAATACGAAGTGCGTTTTACAACTCGGAAAGTCGTTTTTTTCCAATGCTTCCGACATCCCATGAATGCACCATGGCAGTTAAAGGCAGGGTTGGTAATTTTTTTCCAGAAACACTTTTTTAAGAATTTTGGTTGAAATTGTCTTTAGGTCCTGACAGAAATTAATAACTCATGTGCTCTGAAAAAAGGAACAAAAAAAATCTGTCATCTGTAGCATTTGTAAGAATGTAAAAACGTCAACCAATGTCTGCCACGAGGCACCAATCTGATGAACCAATCACACGCCTCCCTGCTCGTTCTCTACCCCTCGCGTGCTCCAGCCCACACTCAAAGCGCGCCACAGATGATGGAGTTTATACACTGAGTTCACTTACCGCTGAATGAGACATGAGATGACGTCGTTTCTACACAATGCAAGCGATGAGCTGAGGTCCGCTTCTGGAGCAACGGCGGTCGTGCATCTAAGTGAGGGGGGCGTGGCTTTAGAGGGAGCACAGAGGGGAGGGGGTGCAGACGGAGCACTGAGGGAATGCTACTTTCAAAATCATGCTTGTTTTTCCAAAATTACCAACCCTGCCTTTAACAATTGATTTAACATTTCAAATCATTTCAATCACGTGTAATCATTACTATACATCATAAGGAAACACTTTGTTTAATCATCTTACTCGTTTGATTTGTGGCTAAATGCTCTGTGTGGTATTGAATGCGTATTACTCACATCACTGGGGTTTCCACTCTTAATCATATTAATTAGATAAGCTATAAAGCTATTTTTGCTTCTTCTTGAAAAGGCATTGAATGGGCGGTAAAGCGACCTCAACCCGTCTTGACATCTTCTATTTATTCTCCTGTATTCCTGTAATCTCGCACAGTACGCATACTGATACTGTTAATGCTAAACTGACCCTCTTTCTGTTTACCAAATTCTCTCTCTCGTGTGTGTGTGTGTGCCTCTTCCTCTTTAGCCTTCTTTCTACTTCCTCCTCCTCTGATCCCTCTTCCTCTTTTCTCACTCTTATCTTGTTATTTTTGAATTGTCGTGCTTTTATTTGAAACTCTTACAGGAAGACACGTTGAAAAACACTGAACAGAGTTTGGTGCCTGAGACTGTAATAATGGATGTAACACTAAAATAAATCATGTGACTGTTTTCCTACCTGGCATGACTACCACGTTTCTGATGGAGAAACTGTTCTTTTTTTTTTGTATCTTCAAACAAAACATGGACTTGTTTCTGATGCTGCTGAATTGTTGGATGCCCGTGTAAAGAAATGTTGCGCTTGCACCGAATTTGATATTTTTCTTAAATGGTTAAATATAATTTTCATTAATGTGCTTTTATTCTTTTTATTGGTTATTTTTCTGTTCAGTGCTTTGATATCAGGCGGTTGCAGTCAGTACATTTGCTGTACAGATGCGTAGGATTCTCAGTGAAGTTTATTCTTTGTGGCCCATAAAACAACTAAACCATCTGTGGAGGTGTGTGTGTGTGAGAATGTGGCATCTTAAAAACATTTGTTGAAAAAATGTAACATTTATTTGTGTGTGTGTTTTTTTTTTTGTTGAAGTTCACTTGAATTCAATCTTGTGGCACCGCTATTGAGGTGCGTTGGTTTGGTGTGTAAATACAATTTGTGTACATTAGTTTACTTTTATTATTAAAAGGGATCTGTACATCATGTTTTTACTCTGTTGTTCCATCTCATTAATAAAAGGAGTTGGACTGTCAGTAAAGCACTGTTCATTTTTCTTTTTCTTATTATCTGATAGAAAAGATGCAAGGATTGTGGATAAATAGTGGTTACTGTGTACTGTCTGTCTGTGCTATCAACCAATCAACCAATCATCATTTGTAAGAGCAGGTAAGAGACCTTACTCATTGTTATGTTAATAAAGTCAAATGGGATGGGGGGAGGTGTCGGGATAAGAAGCAGGAAGGAAAGTTTTAAGTCTATTCTAAAAAGTACAGTGTGTCCACCTCCCAGACCCTGACTGCTAGATGATTCCAAAAGAGAGGGGCCTGATAACCAAATGCTCTACCTCCCCTAGTACATTTAGAGACTGTCAGTACCTCGAGCAGGCCTGATAACTGAAGGCTCTACCTCCCGTAGTACATTTAGAGACTGTCGGTACCTCGAGCAGGCCTGATAACTGAAGGCTCTACCTCCCGTAGTACATTTAGGTAGGGACCGTAGGTAACACGAGCAGGCCTGCATTCTGTATTCTGTTAGCATAATGCTACAGTGCATGGTCATGCAGATCTTATTAATTTGAATCTGACTCTGCATGCCAGCTAGAAGGAAGAACAAACTGATGATATACAAATAGTTCAGTGATTTATTTGCATCAGCTGAATCGCTCGTGTAGATCAGCTTAACGCAGCAAGTTGTTTAAACATCACATGGGTGGACTGTACAGTGAAGCATCACAAGGTAAAAAACCTCGGTCAGCGAAATATAGAACTGTGGTGTGATGAAACATGAAATGCATGACACACATTTTGACTGTAAAAAAAAAAGGTGGGGGAGGACTTCATGCAAAGAGGTGAAACAAAAACTTTACAATCAAAACTGTTAATCTTCTGTAACTGAAATATGTTATATAGAAATTTTAGTTAGATCAGATTATATAAACATGCTCTTCTATTAGTGTATTTTCTGTCCTGACATCACACTCAAAGACAAATGTCAAGATGCAACTTGTAGAGTCCCTTTGCACCTTTAAGAAAAAGCTAAAAAGCTAAAAAGCTAAGGGTGGCTTTATTTGACGGCATACTTGTCTTTAAGGGTGACTGCTTTGCTTAACTGATTTGTCACTAACAGATAGTGTTTGTCTTAGTCCTGTACGGTGGCCGACAAGGGCCATTAACCTGCGACAGCCAAAACTCAGTACATTATTAGAAAAAGCATGCATTAAATCCTGAAATCGTCAACCGCCCTCACAACCCTAGCTCAGCTCTCTCGTATCCCAGTATCAGAGTCCAGGCCGGACTCGCTTTTATTCTCCTATCTGCTGTTATTTCAATGTTACTCTCTGTCTTCTAACTATGCAATTTCCCCATCTAAACAATACATTCAGTGACTGGTCTCCCTCATGCTTTCCACTTCAATAATAAAATGGTCCACTGAGCGCACCCACAGGCCTTGGGCACTTCCACTCAGATGGATTTGCAGCATGATTCTTTTGCAGTTGTTTTTGTGTATGTGTGTGTTTTTTGACGATGCATTTTTTTGTGTAGTTGCAACACATTTTATGTTGATGCAGTTGTTCCAGCTCCACATTTTCTTCATTTGCAGCACTTTTACGGCATGACATTTATTATGGACTTTAATCCCTGTGTTTTGAATGTGCAGCGTTGTTGAATTTGCCCTTGTGGGTCACCGTATAGCTTACGGTTGTCAACTAAAAGCGTTCACATATCTTTACGCTCAAATAAAACACTTACATGACCGAGACAGAGAGAGAGAGAGAGAGAGAGAAGTGTCACATCTTTGCAAGATAAAGAGTGTCTTCACTGCTTTTGACACATGTTTCCTGTCACATTTGCCTTAACCGCAGAAAAGTCTGACAGGAACTAACAGCGATGCAATGGCATGTGCTCTGAAACTGTTCACTTAGCCGGAATTGAAACTGCCTGTGAAACACTTTCTGGCAGAGAGAGTGTCAGAGGGTAAGAGTTTCACTGTCTTCAAACTTTGAAGTTTGGTATGAACCCTAAGTGAATAAAGTCTGAAATAGTGCAGAGCTGAATGAGTTTTTGTCCTCAATAGGATTTCACATTTTACACATTTTACAGATTTTTCTTTGTTGATACTCTTAAATTAAAAAGTCAGAAGTCAAACAGGATGATTTGCTTCTCTTTTAAGAGTAAATAGACATAAAAACAACTTTTCTCAGTGCAGGTTAGTTTGAATTTGCGCCAAAATCAAGGCCACTGCAACCCTGCAGAGCATGTACCCAAAATATCCCTGTGAGTAAGAGCTGATATCACCTGCAGGCCTGTTTCTGCAGGGACCTCATGCACTGACTCAGCAGACACCACACTGCATGCAGCTGTGTCTTTATTCTCGGTTTGTGTCATGCATAACGGATAGATAAAACATTTAGACATCACAACTTTACATCTGCCTCTGACCTCTTTACGTATACAACTTTGAGCGGGAACAGGTATTCTAGTTTTGATCTGCATTAGGATAAAAAATATATAGATGAGCTCTGAATACACTGCATGCTAATAAAAGTATTTTAGCTGCATAAAAATGAGTTTCCAACAACAAAGATATTCTGGAGCTGGAGGGTTCAAAGGCATGGTTGAGAAGGGTGAGACAAGTGCTCCCTCTAGAGGAGTATGCATGTCAGTGCTCCAGTGGCCTGAATAAGCACTACAAAAGTGACAAAACGTACAAAACAACAAAAGTTACCATAACTATGCAGATGACACACAGATGTATATTATGATGTCCCCAGGAGGTTACCATGTCCCCCTACAAGCACTGGGTAAATGCACAGAAGAAATCAATGAGTGGATGTGCCAACATTTTCTTCAACTAAATAAAGGAAAAAAACTAAGGTAGTTGTGTTTGGAGCCAAGGAGGAGTGGATAAAGTCAGCGCATAGCTTCAGTCCATAAAATTAATATATCTTGAAATTAGAGGACTTGTCCATGCATTTATCTTCAGTTGAGTTGATAACTGTCACCGTGTCTTTACAGGTCTGCCTGAAAATAATCAATCAACACTGCTCTGCAATGCACTGGAAATTTTACTCTTATTGTTTTCTCCCACAACTTTTCACATGTTTTAGCTTCTTTTTAGCTGTTTTTCCTCTCTTTGATTTTTCAGGCTTTGTTTGAATGATTCTCAACTGTCCTGTTTTAATGTGTTTTCTGATCTTCGCCATTATGTTTTTGATGTCTTGTGTGAATAGAATAGAATAGAATAGAATAGAATTACTTTATTGATCCTAAACTGGGAAATTGTGGTGTTACAGCAGCAGGTTGTCCAAACACACAATATCAGCAAAAAACACAATATTAGCAAATCTAAACATAATATAATATTAAATACAAAGTAAATAAGCACTAAAAATATCAAAACTAAGATGTGAATATATACAACCAGGATTTAACTTGCATTACTGGTCTTAAATATGAAAATATTACAACATACTTTGCTGTAGATAAATGTTAATGTGCAAAAACAGAGTTGTAAATGGACAGTATTGACATAGGGAGCTGTCCAGAGCTGTGCAATCAGTGATACATAAGTTAAAGTGCAGGAGTGTTGACATGTTATTAGCAGAAACTATTCAATATAAGGGCGAGTAGACAGAGAAATGAAGTGAACTTAGGATAGGATAGGATAGGATAATACTTTATTGATCCCCAGAGGGGAAATTCGGGCGTTACAGCAGCACAGACACGAAAGCTCAAAATACACATTAAACAGAATAGATAAGATAAAGAAAAAGAAAAAGGAAAATACAAGTACAGTACAAAATGAATGATGAAGTTAACTGGGGGGAATTGAGAATTGAGACAGTATTTGCAGAAAATGACAAGATGAAGTGACAAGTGATGATTAAAGTGACTTGGTATGATAAAATAGCAGCAAGTAATGTAAACAGCAGAGAAGAGAGGCAGTGTTGTACCACAGTAATGCAGAGTGCAGTTAAATAATATAATGTAGTATAATATAATATAATATAGTGCAATATGAACAATATAGTGTAAGATAATTAAATGTTATATAATATAGACTAGTATAATAACATAATAAAAATATATAGAATGTACAGTATATATGTATTGATGCTAAATAATAATAATAATACAGTATAATAATACAATGTTAGTAATGATAATAATGAAGCAGGTCATGTTGGTTGTGTTTTATGTGGGTGAAGTTTTGTGTCAAGGACATACTGTTATTGTTGTCATAGGCTGCTGTTGTAACTTGAGTGCAGGGATAATTTGTAAATTTAACATGTGCAGAACAGATTACAGCAAGGTAAGGTAAGCACTTTGAATTGCCTAATTAATGAAAGATGCTGGTCTATATGAATAAATAAACGTGCCTTGCCCATCCTTGCTTCGCTGCCTTAAAAAAAACAAAAAACAAGAGGGTGCAGGGTTTATTTTATTTTCAATTTTAATTTTAATTTTAATTTAATTTTAATTTTAATTTTTTTAATTTTAATTTTAATTTTTTTTATTCTATTTTTTTAATCTATTTTTTTCTACATTCTTAATTTTTCTTTGAATATTTAAATTGCACTGTGTTCACTTTTTGTTCGCAATCTTTGCTCTTTGCTGCTGTAACACTGTAAATTTTAATAAATAAAGGATTATCTTTATTTTATCTTAGCTTAGAAGTCAGCCAGCAGGGGGCGCTATTTCGATTCCCAGCGGACGCTGTGGTGGTGACGTATGACGCACTCAGGCGAGCGGATCCAGCCTACACACAGCCCTGTTCATTTTCAGGCCGGGTCGGACCCCAGCAACAACATAGCTAATCGGTTCAACCTATGAAGATTGGGCTTTACAATCGCCATCCATCCTTTGATTAGACAGCATTTCGTGGAAATATATCACTGCCACTGATCAGAAGACAAACCAAGTCGTTGAATCGGTGAGTAAAATACGCGGATAGTTGCCGTTTTAATCTCGTTTCGCTTGTCTTCGCTGCCTTTAGTTTTTATTGTTGCTTTGTTCTGTGCAGCAGCCATTTTTAATCGCCTTGTCCTACATTCCCCCCATCACTGTCGTCTTGACCGTCCCGAAAGCAAAAGAACACTTTTAAAAACGGTTACCTGAAACCTTTCTGTAGCTTTCACCCACGAATAAAGAGCGTGTTAAATAAAGCCGAACAAAACCCCCCGCTGCACTGGAACATCCCGAACCGGCCTGTCAAGGTTGTTTTGAACATCAAGACGGGATTTTGTCGTTTCGCCTGTCGAAGCTAGCTAGCTGCTAAATCAAAGCAAATGATTGTGTTTAGCTGTGTCTACGCGGATTAAACGAAAAGCAGCAACCAGCCAGTATCCTCACACACTTTAAACCGTGGTAAAGAACACATCTTGTTGGGGCCTTGGCCTCTGAACACTGGATGTTTACATAGCCGTTTTGTCTTCAGCTAGCATTAACGCCTAGGCTGCTTAGCAACTACACCTGGGGGGTCCTCCTTTTTGATTTCAGGTGGGGTTTTTTAAGCATTTTTTTTAAAAGGATGCCGAGTTATCTTGACAACCTGAAATAGCAGGTAAGGCTCCTTTATTTTTATGAATTAAAATCGTCAGACTTTGTTGTTGTTTTCGCGCAGAGGAAACTGTTTGGGTGTCAGTTTCATGTGCTAGCGTTAGCATTAGCTAACAAGGAGTGAACGACATTTAAAACTCACAATAGAGAATTAAAAACAATGATTCGCGCTTATAAATGAAGTCAAACGGGATTATCAGACTATTATATTACAATTTTGCTAGCGAATGGGTCGTTTTCGTTGAGTTTTGTGGCGTTATTGATGTGGAAGATTTTGCAAAAATCAAGTGTGGATGTCGTTACGCATTCAGCGTTAACAAGAGGGGTTTTTTCTAACTTTATATTTCGGTGGTTCTTTGTTGAATCTCTGCACGATTGTGGATTTAACGTAGGAAAACAAACATGCATTGACTTTAACATCTTAATACTCGAGCTAAATCGAGTCAAAATGGTGATATTGTTCTTTTTTTCCAGTGCCTGTAAAACGCCTATGCAGAGCTTTAACTCAGCGGCCTCCGATACGCGCAGGATGGTCTGCTGTTCAGCTCCATGGATGATATTTATTTACACAGCTTTTTGTTCATTATAGTCAAAACACCAGCTGTGGGTTGAAGCCAAGTTTAATACAAACTGGGAGGAAAAAAAAATCAAATTTTCTCAAACTGCTTACTCATTTTTTCACCCTATTTAATTTGACGATTTTTATGTTTTGATTCTTAGAAATAGGATCGCCATCACTAAAATCTTCCATTGTGTGTTATTGCTTTTGCTGGTTTATTTTTTCCCCCCACATTTAAATGTTGCTTTAGTTATAAAACAATACTCCTTCTCATATTTCATATTTCCTGTCATCCTATAAATAATAGCTTTACTGATGAATACATGAGCGAGTTGTTGCCATACTTCCCTTTTTACATCTTTTAGACTAGTCCAAATATTTGAGATATCCAAAGCTGAAACTTCGTGATTTGTTTTGTGGCGTTCAGAGTGTCTTATTTATTTTCCAGGTTTCTCAGAATACTCTTCATGCATTTCCACAGTAATCTTTCGATCAATGTTACTTATCAGGGGGGAAAGTTTTGATTCTGCGTTGTGTCTGGTATTCAGCTCTCTTGGATGATATTTATTTACACAGTTTTTTGTTCATTATAGTCAAAACACCAGCTGTGGGCTGCTGTGTTGAAGCTAAGTGTAATACAAACTGGGGGAAAGAAATCAAATTTTACTCAAACTGCTGATTTTTTTCACCCCATTTCACGTCTCTTACTATTTTTATGTTTTGATTCTTTGACATAGGATCGCCATTAACCGTCACAAAAATCTCCCATTGTGTGTTATTGCTTTTGCTGGTTTATTTTTTCCCACACTTAAATGTTGCTTTAGTTATAAAATAATACTCCTTCTCATATTTCAGCCAAGCCTGTCATAGGGCTGGGAAATATATCGAGTTTTTAAGATATATCGATGTATTTTCAAACAAGATATAGGGTAAGACAATATTGTTAATGTAGATATAGTTTATGTTGCATTAAAATAACATTACAGAGGTGCCAGGTCACTTTTTTCCTCATCTCACTGATGATGACTGACTGTCTGTTCCTCTTCACCCTGCTCCTCCTCTCTCTCTCTCTTTTATTGTATTTAAGGAACATTTTTATTTTATAATATTACTTTTTAAATTCACAAACAGGTAGTTTATTTTTCTATGTGTTTTCACTGTTAATAAAATACATATCGATATATATCGAGTATCGCCATTCAGCTAAACAATATTGAGATATGAGTTTTGGTCCATATCGCCCAGCCCTAGCCTGTCATCCTATAAATAATAGCTTTACTGATGAATGTATGATCGAGTTGTTGCCATACTTCCCTTTTACGTCTTTTAGGCTTAAGCATGACGTTTAATCAAGATATTAGTCAAAATATTTGAGATATCCAAAGCTGAAACTTACTGATTTGTTTTGTGGTGTTCGGAGTGTCTTATTTATTTTACTTGATACACATTTTCCAGGTTTCTCAGAATAATCTTCATGCATTTCCACAATAATCTTTCTGTCAATATTACTTATCAGGGGGGAAAGTTTTGATTTTCTGAGTTGTGTCTGGTTGCATTACTTTTACTTAACCAGGGAACAGAGAAAAGGGAACAAACTAACCTAGTTTTATAGGTTCATGAAGGGCAGCACATCTGCATCTTTGGCTTTAATTACAGCAGCTCACAGCACTCATGCTAAACAAGGAGCTGTGCCTCTTACAAGTCTTAAGACTGTTTCCACCAGTCGTTCGGGTTCAGTTTGGTTCGGTACGGTACGGTTCACATTTATTACAGTCAAAAGTTGGGAATTTCCCAAAATCATCAACCAGTACCCTCCTACATTTTTGCTACTCACGGTGGTTGGGATGCCAAGCGTACCAATCCCCCATAGAGGGTGGAGCTTGACACACTGCATCCGTTGCAATCTGTTGATTGGTCGAAGGAATCGTCACGTCCCGTGCAACAGCGGTAGTAAAGGACACAAATCGTGCCATATTTAAGTTTCACATAGCTTTCGAGTGATTATTTTCAAGCCCTTAAGCTGTCCAGCTTTCTCTCACTTAAATCTTGTCTTCTTGTGATGAAAGCCAAATGCCAAGAAGAGGAAACACAAAGATGCTGAACCCTCCATTGTTGCCCTTTCGTTTAAGTTTACTGTGTCTCATACTTCTTCATTTTATTTATTGGCGAGCTACACTGTGTCGTGCTGCTTGGTGGAAACAGGGCTTTAGACAAGTAAGATATGTTGACTTCTACCCCATTGGGTCAGGATATCGAATAAACAAAAATGTAATCAAGATACGACAGACAACAGATGTAAACACAGAGCAAATCAGAGTTTTTCATTTAACCTGAAATATGCATATAAGGAGCGTCTTTGATTAGTTTAGCGCTTTCTTTTTTACAGCTTTTATTTTCATGAGTAATCATGGCAAACACCTGATGATCCAGGACGCCATACTACTCTCACAGTTGCAGAATCATGTTTTTATTGTCACTGCATATAAGTGAGGTGATGGTTATGGTTGGTCACGTATGAAAAAGCAGGTTATTTTTAGCCGTCAAGCTTCAGTCGCTCTTGTTGCATGACAACCTTCATGGGCAAAGTTTAACCAGCCATAGCTAATAACTGTTAAACAGTCTGTTAAAGAAAACACATCATTGCTGTGACTAGCTGCACATATATTTTATTGTATTTAAATATATATCTCCTCTATATGTAATGTTACCAGCTTTGTCCAATGTTGACTATCAAAAAATTGTCCTGCAAAAACACCTTTGTAAAGGAAAAAAAAAAGCAAACAGTGATTCACTAAAAAAAGAATTCCCTGACTTGACATCTTCCCTGTAACATTTCCACGGTAGGTAGTAGTGACTTAAACACAAGGTGTGCACAAGTAAGACAGCTGTACATCTGAATCAATATATTATAACATGTTTACACCAGGAAAAAAAACATTGTTGCTGATAAACATATTTTGTTGATTAAAGCCGTTGAGAAGTAATAGGGTGTACACAGGCTGTAGTCCTGTAGTCCTGTAGTCCTGTAGTCCTGTGGCCCGGGTTCAAATCCGACGTGTAGCTTTATTCCCCACTATCTAATCGGTATGTCTCCTGTCCTGATTCGATCCACTGTCCTATCTCTACTATAAAGGCTGAAAAATATATATTTTTAAAGCATTACTTTGGTCTTATTATTATAACAATTACAGTTTCCATAAAAACTACAAATAAAAAGCAGAAAAAAACTACTAACATGGTGTAGCTTTCAGTTTTTGTCCATAACACTTTCACTCTTTAGATGTCCGATTCCCATTGAACACACTTTTTAAGTTTTTATAGGAACTTAACAAAAATAAAAGTTTAAAGGACACTATGCAAAAACAAGATAGAGAAAAATATCCTCCATGGCTACAGTTAATGTTGGAACTTGAAGGTCACATATTATGCAAAATACAGTTTACCAATGTTTTTCTGACTCTCATATGTTTCCCTGTCTGTCTATTAACTTCCCAAATTATGAGAAAATTCCGTCCGGTCTGTCTTTTGCCCGCTCCACTTTAAAGAAAATAGTTTGCTCAAACAGGCCGTTCAGAGAAGTAACTCCTCCCCCAGTGGGGTGACACTCCCACAGCTAGGTGTTTATTCTGCCCCTCTGAGTCTGCCTTCTCACCGTAAACAATCAGACATGGTGCAAGAACGCCCGAGCCCTTCCAGAGATGGACGTGGCTACGGACACAGAAACGGCCTGTTCTGAGCAGGGCTTAAATAGACGGCTTTATAGGTGTTGCGCTGCTATGATGTCACGCTATTATGTAGCTGACACGGCCATCCAGGGCACACCCCATCTACCAAGAAAGAGTACAGTCTGCTGTGGAAACTCATTAACATAAAGGTTTACCGTACCTAACCGGGCTGCTTGGTGGAAACGATATGGAATAAACAGAAAACTAAATCAAGGTTCCCTGACAGATGTAGACGTTTTTAGTAAGAATAGGAGGATATGTGATCTTTAATAATTTTTTTCCCTTTTCACAGAATCTGAAGGCACTGGGAAAAGGCGCATAGAAAAATTTCCATACTCGATGACATTACATCGCAATGTCCGATCGTTTGGGGCAAATAACCAAGTCCAAGGATGGGAAAAGCAAATATTCCTCACTCAGCCTATTTGACAAGTACAAGGGAAAATCAATAGAAACTCAGAAAAACACAGGTAAGGATGAATTTCTTAAGTGAATATTTACTTTTCTTCTATTACCGTTTTTTTTTTTTGGCTTTACCGTCCTGTTTCTCTCTTCTAGCAGTTCCGCGACATGGCTTACAGAGTCTTGGCAAAGTGGCCGCAGCCCGGCGCATGCCCCCACCTGCTCACCTGCCGAGCTTGAAATCCGAAAACAAAGGAAACGATCCCAACGTGATTATTGTGCCTAAAGACGGTACAGGATGGGCGAACAAGCAGGAACAACCCGATCAAAAGAGGTAAGGGGAGAAATATACTATCTCGTCTCATCTTTTATTCAAACTTCATGTAAAGTCACAATACTTAAAGTTCTAATTTATTATATGATTTTGCATTTTATTTTGGTACTTTGAAGGCTTTTGTACGGTGTGGTTTTCAGTCAAATAAAACAACTTAACCACCCTCAGTGCAATGAAGAAGTGCACTCTTGGAGATATGCAGCAGCTTACATCACTCTTTTTGTTTTGTGTAAGGCAGCATCATGAAAATTAGAACACAGCTTTGAGCTTTGTAGTGCTCAGCTGTAGTTTCAAAGCTGCTACCCCGTGTTTACAGTGAGTTGCTGTATTAACACCTGCTCAGCGGTTCAGACTTCCATCCTCTGGTGTTACGTCAATGTGTCTGTGCTCGCTTTGACCCTTTCTTTTTCTGTCTTGTGTGCAGTTCTATTGCATCAATACCACAGCTGCCGGAGTCGCAGCCGCAGCCGGCTTCACAGAAATCTGTCTCCAATCTTCAGAAGCCCTCACCGGGAGCCAACCAAGAGGTGCGTACGTGCAGCCAGGGTCATGATGTGGACATTTCCATTCATTTCTCAATATCACAAGGATTTTTCTTGACCCTTTGTCCTAAACTCAAAGAGCTCCTTCACAAAGAGCTGTAGATTAAGTGCTAGATCTTATTAATAAATACTTTCAAACTGTTGCATTTTTTATGACTGAATTAGTTCTATGAAGTGTGAGCAATACCTGTTTCAATACCACAGCTACAAACAGAAGCCCCAGACAGCTAATATTAGATCCATGCACAGTGCTAGTACAGCACACAGACACACACACAAAAGCGGTTATAGACCAATTTTTATCTTACTTTTGTAATTAACCAAGCAGCCCTGTTGAAAAAAGTGAAGGCAATGCGGAAGTGCAAAAAACTGCAGTTCCAAGAGTGTCCACTAGAGGATTGCTGCAAATGCCCCGTCACATACACAACTGTTCTAAAATGCCTGTTTTAAAATGTTAACCTGTTTCATGCAGCATAAGCATGCTTAATAAGGAGCTTGACGGAGGTTTAAGGCCCGCCTGTGCTCCACCTCTTTGTTACTAGTTTGTCGAAAAGCTACGTTGAGACAGCATTGTCAATATGTTGACCGCCATTGTTAGTCCTCAAAATTCCCTTTCAGTAACCAAAGGCTGATGTCACTGAGGCTACGTCCATGTTTAATACAGTCCATGTAATTAACACAAACCCTCTTCTCAGGAAATCTCTGTTTCCTCGATTTGGCTACCTGGAGAGACTTTAGGCTATGTGTGAACGCAAACAGCCACATTTTTTGGCGCAGACTTTACCCGGAGTTTCCCGGCCAGACCCCTAGTATTTTTTCCGCAGAAAATCCGAGTGAGCTGATGTCTGAACGCGGCAGTATATACTCCGGGGATTTCAATTTGAGCCAATAGAAAGAGAATGACGTTTATATACAGTGACTGCCTAAAGTGTCTGCACGCGACCACTACGATCTCCGTGCACGTAATTAAACGGCTGCACTATGTTTTCTGTTCGTCAGTATGTTGTCCGGGTTGTTTATTTACGTCACGTCTTACCTTGGGAAATCCCCCGAGCCCCCTCCCCTCTGAAAGGGATAGTCCCCAGCTGTGAGGAGCATATGTGAACAGCTAGGTCGGGAGAATCTCCAGAGAAGTCCTCCTGTAAATATCTAGATATTATCCGGAGTGCATATGTGAAAACGGCAACAGATTGGCTTCATTTTAGAAGCTGCAGAACTCTAAATGCTGCATATACTTTCCATATGTCAGAAGAAGTACAATATTCTGTATGCAGAGATCTAATGCATCTATCAGCATGTGACTTTGTTTTTTTTGCTTTGTTTCCTCAGACCACAAACACAGGTGGACCAAAGCAATGGGCCCAGCTAAATGGAAAGGCAGTAGAGCCAGATGGTGAGTCATCCTAGCTCTGTAATTAAGCATGAAATGTGTTTAAAATCACATTTCATGCTACCGGGGAACGATTTGCTGTTCAAACTTGGACCCCTACTTGTCTTTGCCAATTTGTAAAAATGCTCTTCTGTTTGCACGAGTCAGACTGACACCTCTTCCTTTTTTCCTCTCATCATCTTTTAACCACAACAACAGGTTCAAGGGCCTCAAACCGACTTCAGCCCTTCTCTCACGAGGAATTTCCCACGCTAAAGGCAGCTGGAGAACAGGACAAGGCTGGCAAGGAAAGAAGCGGCTTCGATCCGTCGTATGGGCCCGGACCAAGCCTCCGCCCCCAGAGTAGGTCTACGCTCGTAGGACTTGGCAGGCTCACAAACACAGGATAAACTCTGCTGGAAACAAATTGTTAAATTGTCTGCGAGAGTTCTGTCTGTCTGGCAGCTTAACTGTATTTTTGAAACATATGAACATCTCCTTGATAAACTTAAAGAAACAATTTACAGCAGTGAGAGGAAGAGAGCAGTTTGTTTAGGTTTTATAACTCAATGCTACACTGTGTCCTCTACAGTTCTTTTTTTAAAGCGGCTTCACAACCGACATGCTGCCATTTTTCTCAAAGACTTGTTTCCCTTAGTGCCAGAGTATAACAGCTGTCATTTATGAAGTTTTAGGACAATTAATCAGGTTTTAGAGTGGCTGTTTCAGTGATACAGAGAGCCTTGATTCCCTTCAAACAGGGCAGTATTTCTGTAATTCAAGACTTTTGTCAATCTTTCCATTCAGATTTTGTAATTCTGTTTGCCCAAACCTCTCTTTCTCCTCAGACGTGACGAGCTGGAGGGAAGGTGGTGGCAGGAACCTTCAGCCCTCGACCCTGACCCTCGGCCTGCCAGCAGACCCTGAGGGTAAGATCACTGCCCTGGGTGAGAGCGGCACCCCTCCAGCCTCATCTCACCCCCCCTCTGCCACCGTCACGACCTCCTCTAAGCGTGGTGACGGCTCCGTCTCCGGTCCTCGACCCCAAGGAGCCTTCCCTACGACCCGCCCAGCCTGTCCGCAGAACAACCGTCCCCACTGCGCTGCAGTACCAGCTTCACCACACCTCCACTGCTGTCTACCATGACATGTTGCCCGCTTTTGTAAGTACCTTTAAATCCGCCAGCTAACAACACAGATGTGTGGAAGGTTAGAACTATGAGGGTGTTTTATTGTGTATGTTTCAGGTACTATGGTGGTGGCTGAGGTCAACCTTTCAGTTCTTATTTCCTAACTTAAAAAACAGTGTTTTATAACTTTATCTTTTGGACAGTATTTATTCATTGCTGCACATAATGATCAAAGTATAAACTGTTGGCTGGAGCAGAGCTGCTCTCGCTCCCTTTTACCTTTTGTACATTACTATGATTACTGGACATTGAGTTACTATGGATGCAGGAACATGCTGTGTCTGTTCTTCATTTTGCTGTCATACAGTATGACTCAAAGAAATAGATAAAATCCTGTAATAGTCTCCAATCTTCTTTTTGGCACATAATGACACTCAAATCATTTCATCAGATAATAGAAGATCATTGCACTTGAACAAGAGACTGAAGGTCTTATATTTATCCACCTAAAGTATCGAAGTATGCTGCGCCCCGATCTTTGCTCCGTATATTTTTCAGCTGTTTTGGTCTTTGACAATCCTGTGCCTGATGTATTTCTACTGAACTACACATTTTTATCCCTCTGCTGTTTTCAGATGTGTTCCAAAGATACACGTGAAGCCCCAGGTACAGAAACTGTTCCCACCACTGTTGCAGCCCCCGCCCGATTTGAAAGCAAACCCACTTTTAGACAGAGCTACCCCAAACCTGATGTTGTCAAGTAAGTTTGTCCACACGGTGACGGTTGAACCTAGACGTTTAAGACAACTGGCATTTGCTTTATGGTTATTTTTACCGTCTCTTTCTGCAGTGGTGATGTAAAGAGAGAGGCCCGCTTCGCCCGCGCTGCACCTCGACTCGTCTCTTCTCAGCCCATCCGCAGGCCTGGTGAGAGACCGCAGCGCCCGGCCATCGTCAATCCGGAGGACCTGAAGGATCTGGATGAGCTTGACATTGACTGTGAGGATGGATGGGCTGGTAGGTGTTTCTTAAACTGGTTCAACTGCCTCCAGGTTTCTCTGTGGAGAAGCACCTGATTATTCACTGTTTGCACAACCAATCAGTACAATGGCTCCTTCAAACACAGACTGAAAAAATATTCTGCAATTCTGTGAGCAAATTCCAAGCGCATTGGTGCGTCACATAAACTGGAAAATTATGGGAAAACTTTGAATATTTGTGCAATTTAGAAAGTTCACAAGAGTTAACCTGCAATTTTAAGTGATTAAAAAAAAGAAATGACCCAATATTTGGTGCCTAGGATTTGTATATTTGTCACTCTGGCATTGAAAAAAGGTGTTGATATATCATTTGGTTTTGACTAGAATTGTATCAAAGATTAAAATTTAGATTCTGTGACAACCCTACAAGATATTGGGGTTCATTTGGGCAGTTTTGTTGTTTTGTTGGGATTAAAGATCGCTTTCTATAAATCTTTGTTGGTAACAAAACACAGTATAAGTCCGGCTACATATCGAGTGTGACCCGTTTACAGCCTGAGGAACACCCACTGGATGCTCCAAGCGTTCAACATCTTGTCCCTCTACGCATCTGCTCACTGTTACTTTGTTTTTTTCAGGACTCCACGAGGAAGTGGATTATAGTGAGAAGCTGAAGTTCAGTGATGATGAAGAAGAACACTCCAGTGAAAAAAACAAAATGTGGTGAGACCTCTTTCCTCATTGCTCTGTTTTACGCTCACACTTTTAGGGAATTGTCATGATTTAAAGGGCTCCTGGTTGAATTTGGATGTACTGCTCTTTAGGACTGAATGGGAGAGGGAGAGAGAGAACTGCCAATCCTCCCTGAGTGCAGGTGAGGCGGCGTACACCCAGGAGGGCCTCGAGGAGGGTTATTCTTACCAACATCACCACCACGAGTCTCTGAGGAAGACCAGCAGCAGATATCTCTCTCCGGACCCCTCGGTAACCACACACAACGCTTTGTTATTTCCACTTTCACCCCTCCCCTTCTGAGATTACTTATTTAAGATTAACTCATTATGATGTTTTCCTCTGTTAAAACACAGCTTGTTCTTTAATCCCTCTGTGCCTGCCGAGGATAAGGCAACACTACAGAGCATATGAATAGCAGCAGCCTTCGCACGCCCTCGAGTGAGACTGTCATTATGAATAAGAAGGGATGACCTTGCAGTAACCATAGAGATACATCTCACTTCTTTTCACTTGCAAAGTATTTTGCTTGGCAAGTGAAAAGGGTGTTAAAGACATAATGGCAATACGAGTTTGCTCCTGCTTTTTTGACCTGTTTCAAAATGTGAAAAATTGAATCACTTACAGGAAAAATCTGCAAGTAAAGATTCATGTTTAAGCCTCTGAAGTTATTATTTTACAAAACAAGATTTTGAGGCTTTTAGGCTCTTTACGTGAGTGGGTGGGCTTAACAGGCAAAATAATAACAGGGTATATTGTAAGTGTCAAATCCTTCCGTCTCCCTATCAACATGCTTCCATCCTTTAGAGTTCTGAATCATTATATCAATGATTTAAATGTATATGCTCTGTGCACCCACACAGGTGTTAGTGATTAGAACATGTTTAGACCTCTTCCCAGGAATATGTTGGTTTGGACCTGAGTCCAGACTCTCAAAACTGGAAGTCTCAAAGTCTCTAGCAGTCATACTCAACTTGAGAGCAAAGAAACATGGCAGTGATAGTTTTTGTAGTACTTTTTAACAAATAATTCATGAACAAAACAAAAAAAAAACAATGCATAAATTCATGACTGTGTTTGAATTAGCTGTACATGCTACAGCAGTGTGCTGTACTGTACATGTACAGAGTGCGTGCTCAGCTGTGATACCCATCATTTTTAAAGCATCAGTCTCCCCCTTAAACTGCATCTCTTCCATCTCTAGGCCCTGCAGAAAATTCCAGGTGAGCCACCAACTGACCAGGATGAACACCAGCGCCAGTCTCAGGGTCCAGCCAGGGCCAAGTACGTGTCCCCTGAGCTGTCGGAGGCCGTGGAGAGGGCCCGCAGACGCAGGGAGGAAGAAGAGAGGCGTGCCCGTGAGGAACGGCTGGCTGCCTGTGCTGAGAAACTGAAGAAGCTGGATGAGAAATTTGGGAAGACCGAAAGGCAGATGTCAAAGACGGAGGAGATCCTGAAAGAAGGAGAGGGCAAAGAAGCTCCTCTCTCTCCACCCAGGGAGCAGAGTAAAGGCCACCCTGAGACCTGGCAATACAGCACAAAGGGTAAAGAAGAAAAATCTGAATTTAACCTGACGTGTTAAACGTGTGTTATGAAAGTTATAAAAGTAATATCTAAGCATTTCTTCGTATCAAATCATCTCCAGATGGAAGTGATGGTGCCCCGGACCACTCTCCTGGCCACAGCTACCGAGAGGAACCTGGGTTCTCTAACTATCGGGGCAGCGAGGATGATAGCCAGGAGCCGTCCTCCCCGTCAGGAGACTACAATGGACGCCATCCCTCCAAACCGATGCCACCCCGCTTTCAAAAGCAGCCGCAGCCACAGCCGCAGCCACAGCAGCAGCAGCCGCAGCAGCAGCACCACCAGCAGCAGCAGCAGCAGCAGCAGCAGCAGCAGCAGCAGCAGCAGCAGGTGAGTGCCAGATGATGTCCCTTCTTAACCCATAAAGTCCTAATCCTTCACTAATGGCTCATGGAGTAGTGGCTGCTTTGTGAGAAGAGATTTTTTAAGGTAACGGTCATCAGCTTGCAAACATGACCAGCAGGGGACCATGTGAAGGGGTGTAATCTGTTTACCTTTGATTGGATTGTCTGTTGTTTATTCTCTTCAGATCACGATCAGTTTACGTATCACTAGACCTTAAACAAAACAGTTGAGCACAGTTTTATTCTTTTATAGAAATTGACGCAATACAACAGAAAAGAACCGGTGTTACATACACGTTAAAAAAAAGGTCTAAATGACATTTAGCTGCTGTTGCTTGATTTGGTTCTGACATGACTTTCAGAACGAGCCCATTTCAAGACTGTTTGTTATTCGGAGCCAGAATCAAAGAAATGACCAACCACTGTATGCTGCTGCATGTGATGTGAAAAGTTCCTCCTGTAAAACGTTCATTTTTCGTCCAAAATTTAATCAAGTAGTTCCTTGCTAGCTGCAATATTACCATCCTTACATTTTATATAAAACATAGAAGATTTTAACAGATCGATTCAAAATTAGGGATGCTCCGATCTATCAGTTGAATACCAGTGTTACTCTATACTCACCCTGTTTTTCAGACTTTTAAAAATAATGTAACATGCGATGTGTGTCTGTCATGTCGGGTCAAAAAGAAGACTGTTACTGTGGAAGATATCCTCCTGTCCTTTTTGACTCAGAAGTCTACAATGATGTGTCCGTGTCCCTTTTTCACAGGGACTGTGGGTTTTGTTCTTGACCTCATGCGAGTGTGTTTGTTGTGAACTCTTTTCAGGAGCAGGTATACAAGATGCAGCACTGGCCGCAGTCCGGTCACCCTGCCTCGTCTGGCTCGAGCCACAGCCAACGTGGCTTCTATCCACCGCATGTCCTCGGGTTTGATCCCCGCTGGATGATGATGCCGCCTTTTATGGATCCCCGCATGGCCCAAGGACGATCCCCTGTGGATTACTATCCAGGGGCTGTCCACTCTTCAGGTAATGAACCGAGGAGATGAACGCAGGTCTTTTAAATGTAAAAACAAAGAAAGTCTCTTAGTTTTTGGAGCATGACAAAAAGTTTTCAATTTGAAAAACGTGTTTTGTTTTCAGCAGGAATGATGAAACCCATGATGCATCAAGACCACTTGAATAGTCCCGGATCTGATGAGGGATGCCACCATCCCAGCCTGCACCAGGAGAGAAGAGCCCCTTCCACTGAACCGTACCCTATGTGGAACCAAGATGGCTACCCCTTACGCAGCTTTACTCCACCTTACCAGAGACAGCATGAAAGCTCAGATGGTGGGCAGCCGGATGACAGGTCAGTTATTGTGTCAAAAATGGGAGATGGAGGCAGACTTACAATTTTGTCAGTTCAAAACAGTACTTGAACTATTCCCTTTTTTTTTTTTTTTATCGCTTTTATGTAATAACTGTATCTTTCACCAGAGCAGTTAATTTCCGGGCAGACGGGGAATATAGTTCTTCCAATTAGACTTTTTCGTCATGTCTTTCCTTCTGAGACCCCCCTTCCATCTGATCAGTCAGATCAGTTCTTGGATAGAGAACAGTCACACTTTGACGGACATATTTGAATAAGCAACTCAGGAAGATATCAGTGGCAGGATGTCCTGAAAATTTGGATTTCCAGGAGTGCATGTGTGAAAACAGCTTTAGAGCAAAATCCTGCAAAGCAACCTTTCTGTCTTTGTCTTTCTTCATCTTTATCAAATCCTCTTTTTCTACAGAAGTGATTTGGCCGGCTCCCAACAGGACTCCTATGAAGACAGAGCAAACGAGTGCTTAAACCAAGACGATCTCCCCCATCATGCTTACCAGAGCCGAGGCTCAGACAGGGAACACAGACACCGTGACCAAGGCTTACTGACCACTGCCCAGAACCTCCCGCAGAATCATGCAGATAGTGATTACCCGAAACAAGACTCCCGAGAAAAGCATCTGAAAGATAGCCCTGATTCACACGATGAGATCTTGGAAGGCTCTAAGGACAGCTGGAAAAGAGATGGGGGTCAGAAACAAGAAGAAAGACTCGGCAATGCTCAAAACCAGTGGTCTGAGTCCAGTTCCAGTTCCAGCAGTAGTGTCAGCCAGCCGTCTGAGACCAGCGGGCGCACTCTGATCCGCAGAACTGGACCCATCAAGAAACCAGTTCTCAAGGCTCTCAAAGTGGAAGACAAAGAAAATGAGAAGCCCAAACCTGAGCCGGAGGAGAAGACTGTCCCTTACCGCCTGGAGAAAGAAATCCTTACTAATGTTTACGACTTAAAGAAGGATAACCAACCAGCCAGCAGCAGGCGCTCAGCTTCACCTGTTGTCGAGAAACAGCCGGAAGAGAGGCAGCGTCAGTCACCAGCTCCCACTAAAACAGAGAGGCCCTTAAGCACCCACAGTGACGACTCCCCCAAAGAGAACGCCTGGGACAGCGGGAAGAGCCAGTCGCCCAGAGAAAGCCAGGACAACCGGGAGCCCCACGCACCACGGCGCAATAACTGGATCTTTATCGATGAGGAACAGGCCTTCGGTGCAGTCAGGGGAACCGGCAGAGGCCGCAGCCGAGGCTTCAGGGAATTCAGCTCTAGAGGTGGAACCCGGGGCGGCCGAGGTGGTGACAATCTTAGAGGGTCTTACAACAACAACAACAACAGCAGCGGAGCTCAGCGCACAGGCAGAGGCCGAGCCATACCCAGGGACCTCGTCAAGGTGGACGAGTTCCAGAGGGGCAAGCCCAGAAGGCGAAACGTCAGCGAGACTTTGAGTGAAACCTCCGAGTACGAGGAACTGCCAAAGAGGCGACGCCAGAAGGGGTCTGAGAATGGAGAGGGTTACACAGAGTCTGGAGAAGTCCGTAAAGCTGACAGGGATTCCTGGAGGTCCAACAAGGTGTACACAGAGGACCAGGCAGCCCAAGATTCACGGGATAAGACCAAGAACAGCCGAGGTTTTGGAGGTCGCATGCTTCCCCCCAGACTGAACACCACTGCAAGTTACAATCGAGGCTTTGGAGGGTCAAGGGACATTTCTACTTGGAGGGGGCGTGGACCCCAGTTCATTAGCAGTGGTGGCTCCGTGCAAGAAAACGGTTATGGCCCTGGAGCCGAGACTACCTACTCCCGCAGACCCCCTGTTGAACGCGAGGCTCTAAAGTACGCCCCTAAATTCACTGGATCCTTCATGGAAAACGGCACAGAGGACCGGGAAGGAGAATACTACTTTGACAACGACAACCCAGACAGGCAGATGTTGAGGAGACGACGACCACCCCGTCAAGACAAACCTCCCAGGTTCCGACGACTACAACAAGAACGTGAACCCGGCTCAAACCAGTGGACGAGTGATGAGTACATCAACGGAGACTTTGCAAATCCCTGGCCCAGTCGTCCCAAAGGCAGTGGGGAGGAAACCTGGCCCAGTGGGCACTACACCGCCGGACGACCCAGCCAACATGGGCAGACCGAGGAATGGGAGACGGGATCAGAGAACAGCGACTTTGGCGACTGGAGAGAGAAGCGAGGTGGGAGTGGAGGCCCGGCTCCACAGGGACACGGCGATGCTCCCTCAGACTCGGGTCACAATGAACCGGGTTCCGGTGAGAAGAGGGAGCTTTGCAAGAGAAGCTTCTCTAGCCAGAGACCGCTGGTGGAGCGGCAGAACAGGAAAGGAGAGCCGTCCCTGCTGGAAGCGAGCAGGATGGTGCGCACACCTGACCCACCAACATCCTCCTCCAACAGGAGTGACAGCTGGCAGAATGGAGGCCCGACTTGTAAGAGGTGAGGAAATAAAAGAACAAATCAAGAACCGGTTTGTTACTAAATGCTCTGTCTAGATGTACTGCTCCTGGTAATTTGAGTCCTCTATATGTGCATGGAAATATTCTTAACGCTCCATTGTCTTGTTTTACTGATTGTTGCCTAGAATGCATTAACAGTGTTTCACCTGTATTGATTTGACCTAAACATTTTGGCCGACACTCTTAAAGTGACAGGAACAAACAAGTTTCTGTCCTCTTTCATTTTGGGAAACCAAAAATTCAGTTAAAAATATTTGAAAATAAAAGGTAACTTTACATAAACATAGAAAAGCTGAAGCAGTTCAGTTATAGTTATAGCTTTAATTTGACACTTTATTGACTCCTTTAGGGAATTTATTTCCTGGACTCCAATGCTGTGCACATTTAGCTTCCCCAAAAGAAGAATTAAAAGAAAAATAGAAACAAACAACATTCCATGTTATCAGGAAATCAGAAACAATCAAAATTATGATAGAGGTGAGCACAAATCAAAACAGTTCAGTATGCATTGGGGACTCTGTCATCTGTCAGATGGTTCCAGCTCCGAGTGGAGGATGTGCAGAGACAACACTCTCTGGGCATGCCTGAGAATGGAGGGAGAGGTTTTCACTCCCCCCTCATAACCTGCATGACAGTCTGTATCAGACAAGCGAGCCTAATTTTCTAACTGTGTTGGGAGTTGGTAATTATGCTGACCTCCCTTACGTGAGGTTACTCTCCAAAACACCCTGAGTCTATGATAAGAAATAGTCTTTGCTGTAAACAAGAACACAATAATCAATGATTAAACTACATCAGGAACATCTTTCTGGACAACTTGTTCTTATTGATTCCTTTTCTAGTTTGTTTTTGTGCCGAAAATAGCTGAGATGATGGTTCATTAACGCTGGCCTCTTGGGTTTGGAATAGTGCATTTTTTAATGTAATTGATACAAACACCAGTATTATGTAGACAGTTTCTTCTGTGGACACGGCTCCATCCGGCTGCATTGGTTAAGGATGTAAAATAACCTCCTTGTGACCCCCCTTGTCTCTCCTTTTCTCTGTTTTTCAGTAGAGGCCCAGATGAGTCAGGCCCGGTCTACAGCATCGAGCAGCAAGAGGAGAGGGAGCCCACTGAGCCTTCTGGGAAGAAATTAGAAAAAGAGCTGAAGCAAGGAGCTGTGAAGACCGACATAGTTGAACCGCTGTCTCAGTATGAGCTCAGCAGCTACCCAAGTAAGTCCAATGTTTCAAAGTTCTCTCTTCCTTTTCATGTTGATAGAAATAGAAACAGTGGTGCCCATCTAAAGTGGTTAAAAACATGGCTTTTAGAGAATGCATCTCTTACCTTCTTATATAGTCTTTGCATTAACCATATGCCTGTTTTGTAGTTGAGGGAGATCTTGGGGGACCCGTTTCGTCTGCAGATGGATACCAGGATGCCTTGTCCAAAAAGCAAAGACGCCCCCAGGAGGATGACAGGAGGAGGAAAGAACAAGTAAATGCTGTACTAAATACTCAAGCTGTAAATAATCAGCCCAGATGCTTGAAAAGTGACCATGCAAAGAGTTTGCAGTTGATTAAACCATTCTGAATGTTGCCTGCATTCAGGTGCCGGTGAAGAACAGGACCATCACATCCAAGATACCGCCCCGCTTCGCTAAGAAGCAGGGAAGTATGAGCCTCGAGCAGCAGGAGGATGCGCTCACTTCTAACAACCTGGGAACTGAAATCTGGGAGACCAACAGCTCAGGTAATTGTCACGCTCATTATTCTGTGAAAGCTTTTTTATTATTAATACTAGAAGAAGTCAACTTAGAGACACATTACAATAACACACTCTGAAGCGCTGCCAGCGCACAAAGCATTGTCAATGAGCACACGTCCTTATGGATGTTAAAGTAGGATTAGGCTCTACATTAACATCCCTTTATATACACAATAGATATAATAAGATATTAAACCAGTGAGATGAGATATTTGCAAAGGACTTATTAAAATGTGCATTTTATGACTATTTATAAAGTAGAAGGAATGCTCTGTAAACTTTAATCAGTTTCATAGTTGATTTAGTCCTTTTATTCTGAATAGGCTCTCTATAAAAAAATATATATGTGTGTGTGTGTGTGTGTGTGTGTGTGTGTGTGTGTGTGTGTGTGTGTGTGTGTGTGTGTGTGTGTGTGTGTGTGTGTGTGTGTGTGTGTGTGTGTGTGTGTGTGTGTGTGTGTGTGTGTGTGTGTGTGTGTGTGTGTGTGTGTATATGTATATGTATATATATGTATATATATGTATATGTGTGTATGTATATGTGAATGGCATTTTTCACTAACATTTACTAATGGGATTTTTTATCTTCTTTTTTTTTTTTTAGCTCTTTCTGTTCAGTCTTCAGGAGGAGACTCGTGGACCAAACAAGTGTCCTACACTGGAAGCGAGCCAAACTCTGAGGTAGGGTCAGGTCATCCTTTCAGCATATTCCTCTTTGTATCCCTATCTCCACAAAACAAACAAACTGAAGTTAATCTGGTCACTTTCAGAAACTTAAGCAAATAATTCAGTGTCCTCTTGTTCCTCGCCAGGACTCTGACGCGGGCCCTGAGCAGGCTAAAGAACAGCACAAGCCGGGGCCCATCGGGAACGAGCGCTCCCTGAAGCACCGCAAAGGCTCCGAAGGCGTGGATCGTCTGGAAGGTGGCCCCATCACACCAGTCAACGGTGTGGACCTCCACGTGGACTCTGTGCTGCCAGTGCCTCCCATTGAGTTCGGAGTCAGTGCCAAAGACTCTGATTTCAGCCTTCCACCGGGCTCCACCCCGGTGCCCGTGTCCAATCCTGTCAACAAGCTGCAGGATGCGCTCACCACCAACGTGAGAGACTACTCTACATTTATGAAAAAATGTTTAAAGATTAGTGTGACAATAACTGAGTGTTTTTAATTGATTCTGATCTTTTTCTTTCTAAACAGACGGCTCTCAATCAGAGTATCCCCATGCTGCGTTCCAACCACCTGCAGCCAGGCATTAACCTCAACCCCATCTCCTTCCCCAGTGCTGACCTCACTCTCAAGGTAATTCAATTACAACCCTGCAAAGGAATCCCCTGCAGACATTTTCTGTGCATTGAAACTTGTGTGTAATTTGTGTCCTCGTATATACATTTCAGCTTTGAATTTTTTTTATTTTTCTCAGATGGAATCAGCCCGAAAGGCATGGGAGAACTCTCAGTCCTTCCCCGAGCAGGGCTCTCCTGGCGGGGGTGCCTCAGGTGCTCAGCCTCCCTGCAGTGTTGGCTCATCCAGTGTCAGCTACAGCACGTTTGGAGGGGTCTCCATGCCTCAGATGCCTGTGGCTTCAGTCGCACCTTCCATGTCCATGCAAGGTAAAGCTGCCTCTCATAGTCACTGATAGATGATGGCTCAATATGTATATGAAGCTAAACTAAGTCTGTGTTTTCTGCTTTCTTCCATAGGAAATCATATCCCTCCGTTGTATCTGGACGGTCACGTCTTTCCCAGCCAGCCACGCCTCGTTCCTCCAACCATGACCCAGCAGCAGACATACCAACAGGTAGAGATCAAAACACTCTCACACAGGTCACATGCTTAATTGTGTTTCAGCTGAATGGTTATTATATTAAATGCATTTTCCCATTCAGGCTGCTGCAGCCCAGCAGATCCCCATCTCTTTACACACATCTCTTCAGGCTCAGGCTCAGTTGGGGCTTCGTGGAGGTCTGCCTGTCTCCCAATCACAGGAGATGTTCAACTCTATCCCCCCCTTCAGGTACTGCTACCTCAAAGTTTTTATCTTACTTTCACTTTATCGTTCATCATGTTTGTTGGACCATAATTAACTTTGCATTCATCCTGTTGCCCCCTTTGCCTCTCAGGTCCCAGGTCTACATGCATCCCAACCTGTCCCAGGCCAGCCCCATGGTGCTGTCCGGCGGAGCCCCTCTCAAGGGGCCCTACTCGGCTTTCCCCGGCATGCAGCCCTCGGACATGGTCAAGCAGCAGTCAGGCTCGCACTACCAGCCAATGAACGGCAGCCAGCAGCTGGTCTACGACAGCCAGATGAACCAGGGCCCGGGTATGGGTTCCTCTCAGCTGATGGACTCCCAGCTCATCCAGGTGAGTGGATTAGTAAAGCTCAGAGTCCATTGAGGGCGACACAAAGGGAAGGTTCCTCAAAGGAGCTTTAAGGTACTGTACTACTCCTGGTGTACAAAGCATTGACACCACATTTTCTGAAAGGCCTCTAAGTATAATCAGACCAATGACTATATAAAGATGGACAACGCCTCAACCTCTGACATATTGTGAATTTGAAGCCAGAGTCTTTGCAGTAGGGATTGGCTGGAGGAGCCACACAAATGAAAACACACAGTAAACTTAGAGATAAAAGGACAGAGATCCGTCAGGTCGGTACAGTATTACAGTTTCTTGTATTTAGATTTGATAGTTTTACCCATGTTCCATCTGTTAACAAGAAAGAAGCAAGGTGTATGAGCTAAAAATAAATCTTTTGGCTTCACTTTAGGCGACATGTTGTGCTGTACATTCTTTATACAGTTTATATCTGTGAAGACGTTTATTATAATGATCCTTTCTCCTGCAGGTGACCATGCCTCTACCCGGCTCTCAGCTGCGCTACGGCTCAGCTCAGCAACACCTCATCCTCCCTCAGTCGATCCAGCTGCAGCAGGGACAGAACCTGTCAGTCGGTGCTCCACGCCGCATGTTGCCACCCGGCTCTCAGCCTGGTGTCATGACCGGCAGTCGAGAGGTGAGACTTGTTTCTATATATTCAAATCAAAAACTGTTCTGATAAAACATCAGAGCAGTTAAGGGCCTGTTTCCACTAACGCCATTTATTGCGCTGGCAGCACCCGTTCTCAATCCAAAACTGCATATTTAATACGAAACCATAGATATTCAGCGTTTTCAGTGCTCGGCGGGCAGAGTGCAAAAGCGCCCTTTTTTTGTCGCTGCATTCGCGGCACTCTCAGTTTCCAAAAAAACAGCGTTGCGCTCGTCAATGTCTCTTCTCCCTCACCGACCAATCATAATCAAGAAGGGGTGGGACTTCTGCTATCAGCTTTGTCAACAACACTGGCGGGGAAGAAAATTATCTGACTTGTCCTTCGAGGGAACATGATTCCTCTACTTTATTTCCACGTTCTCTTGTTGATATTTCCTGCAATAAAAGCAAATAATAAGCACGCAGAGCGACCTCAAACAGACCTAACGCTCACTACCGAGGGATGGAGAATTAAACTTCCGTAACCTAGCAACAATAGGCTCAGGTGACAAGCGCTTTTACACCAGGGTCGTGAGGGCTGCCAGCGCTTAAAGCTCCGTTAATGGACTCAGGCCCCAAAAATTCAAACACAATTGCTGTATTTCTCTTCTCTAATTAATTAATCCTCATTGACAATGTCAGTGCTTTCATCTTTATTCCCAGGGCTCACAGATGGAAATGAAAGGTTTCCAGTTCGCTGAGAAGCCCAGTCATTCCCCTGGTTTATCAGGAGGGTCCTACAGGTAGGAATGATAGAAGTGCTTTGCGTTGTCGACGAGTGAGATATGATGAATCAAAAATACACAGTTTAGGAAATAGAAATTAAATCAGCATTTTCTTTTCATTTTGAACATGTTGGAATTTGTTCATTGGATTGTAAAGTCATCTGTCTTCCTCCTTCTCATCAGGCCCGGGTCTGCCAGTCCCAGCGGGAAGCCCTCTGGTCCTGGGGGGCCTGTTGGTCCTCTGCCCACCCATTTTGCTCAACAGGTGTGTGTTTCTCAAACGTATATATAAATAAATACATTGGGCTGTGTTTAATCTGAGCAATTCTAATCTCTAAAACATTTGGAAAGGATGTGATTTAAAAAAACAAACCTGTGACAGAGCTTGACTTTTTTGGAAATGTTTGAGAATGACCTGAAATACCAACATGCTAACTAATTCTTTTCATTCATTTCCAACCCCTTCATCAACCCCCCCTCCCTCTCCTCCGCCTCCTGCTCACCCATGACCAACAGGTCCCCCCCTCTCAGGGCAGCATGGTGATGCACATGCGCCCCCCCACCACTGGCCCTTTCCCCAACCCCATCCAGAGACCCGTCATGCAGGTCAAACAGCCTGTCATCATCCGCTCCCCCCCTTACCCCAACCCCGGCCGTGACCCCTCCCACTCCACCCCTCCCTCTGCCCCTGAGCCCCTGTTAAAGGGCCAGAGGATGGCATGAAGGTGAGCCACCCACTGTAAATATAGGTAATTTGATTTTTATCCATTTTTCTTTCTCTCTCTTTACCTTTTCTTAGTGTTTGCATTTACTTAAATTGATAGTTTTTATCTGACAAGAATAGAAATAATCTAATTTCTTCTGCTGTAAGACTTTAAGATTATTTTAAACTATTTATAATATCACTGGTAATATTTCTGTATCTACTTACTCTACTATGATATTAAAAAATGTGTCATATCAGCTAAAATAATATTTTTCAAGTGTGAAAGTAGTAACTTTTGTCTTCCTCAGTATCAGAATGTGCATAAAGCTGCTCATGTTTTTGGATGGTTTAAAGCTGATGAATTTCAAGTGACGATAATGTTTCAATAATAATGGAACAGTTAAGATGGGTCATATATAAGATTGAGTTTAAGTTTCTTACCTTGCTCCTCGTACCGTTTTATGAAGAGTGAACCCATATTTTCAACAGTCACTGCCAAAGCTTCTCTTAGGAGACATATAAAATGATCTTGAATCAGCTAAGTAGCTGTTAAAAATGTTGGAAAAGTGTGCCAACTGAGAAATTAAAACGGCTGTGAAGCACTTTCCTCTTTCTCCTGATATCTGAGCGTCAGCTTCTGACTATCCAAAACACCGTGTTGATGTAAATGTGTGTGCTGGGCGCTGCCACGCGTGTAAGCTCCTCTTCCGTTTTCTGTGTTGCAGAATAAAACCCTGCGAGACGTGCGCACGGCAGTGGGCGAGATCAAGACACCACCCGGGGGCATGACCAGCAAACTCCAGGAGCTCCCCCTGCCCTCCACAGGGCAAGCCAAACCAGCACGCACTGGAGCCATCAAACCCCAGGCTGTCAAAGTAGAGGAGGGCAAGGCATAACAATGGACCTTAAAAAAAATCCTCATCAACACCCAGCCTGCCGATACAAAGCCCCCCCCCACTGACCAACGTCTGAGTCTCCTTAGACCCAGCCTATCTCGAGGCAAGGAGGGGGGGGGAGGGCTTCAAGCAGACATCATACTGAATTACTCCTCTTGAACTGTCAGAACTGGACACTATAATTTCACACCACGTATAGAGATATATAAATATATATAAATATATACATAGACACAAACAGTCTTTTAAGCAGATCTCTTCAAGGTTCTCTTTAATTTATTATTAGTCACTTTTAAGGGGAGATTGGTGAGAAGAAAAAAAAAAGAAGATATTTGCTTTTCTTTTCTTTTTTTTTTGTTTCTCTCTGCGGCGGGGGAAAAAGGAAAGTGGCCGACTCAGACGGATGGTTCATTTTCACACCATTTTGCCAAACTGTATTTACTCCCCGTTCATGGACTGTAGCCCTTAAGACCAGGCAGACAATACATACATCGGACTACCAGAAAGAAAAGTCTGTTTCATATTTTTAAAACACATTTGAAAATGCAGTGGGGCACTCTTTTTTTTTTTTTTGTTCATTCTTTCATTGGCATTTTTACTCGTAAATAAAATATTTAAGTCATCACCCACTCCTCCTCCTCTTGCTAAAGACTTCTTTTTATTAACCTTTAAAAAAATTAACCTCTAATTTGTGGACATCATTGCATGTCAAACACCCTGGAAGTGCACCCCCCCCCCCTTTTGAAATGCACCCGGCCCATCCATGAACTGTCGGCTTTGATTGGTGGAAAATGATCTCTTCTCTTAAAGCTCTGTTCTTTGCTTTTTACATTCTGTCGCTCGCTCTCTTCTGTATGTTCAAGTGAAACCAGAAAAAGTGGGACATTTTTGAACCCGAATCATGTTGCTTCCACGGAAAAAAAAAAAAAAAACTTCACGGTGTGTGCATGTGACCTGCTGAACGTGTGTGTAAACTGGCAGCAACATTTTCACAACAAAAGACTGCACCTGAACTCGGCCCTTCATTGTGCTGCCAACGACTGCCTGGATTTATCGAAAACGACCAAGCTGGCAAGCGTTTTTCTTTTGGGGGCTCAATGTGAAGTTGAATACGAGTGGAGAGGGGGGAGGGGCTTCATTCACGCCACCCCCCCCCCCCCCCCCCTTTTTTCGAAATAGCTGATTGAAATGTGTGCTTTCTTATCGCTTTGTTTGGGTTGTAATTAATCAAACTGTCTGTTGATGAACATGTGACGTAAGTGATGATTTTTACGCCCCTCTGCCTTGGGGGGAGGGGGGGGGGATTTTTGCTTTTTCTTTTCATTGCTCTTAAAAGACTCTCTCTTACTCCGTTAAAAAAATCCCACTCTGTCTGACAGTACAGTGGGCGACATCATTTTGATTCTTCTGATCTCTGAGATGGCACTAGCAATAAATGCAGCCTCACTATAATCACAATCAGGGTCCAAATAGCGTTTTGCTGTTCCGAGCTAATAATCACAACCGAGGGGCGTTTGCTGTTGCTTGCTGCATTAAAACCTGATCTCCGCTTACGCTTTTTTTTTTTTTTTTTTGTGAGCACTGCAGTTCCAGTGGATTACGAAGGACTTTTTAAAGTGTTTGTTCTATTTGAAAAAATGTGAAGCTGTTGGAATTCTCCTTCATTTCGTTTGTTCTTTTTTTTGTAACAGACTCTTTTGTTTTTGAAGCTCATAATGCCAACGACGTCATAACTGGTTCAATGTTACTGCTTAACCACGCGGCTCCACCACACTACAAAAACTGTTGCGATTTATCTTTGACAGTGTTTCACTGGTATATATGTATATGCATACTTAACTGTACAGTCAGTCGAGCCCGGTCAGCGAGGAGGGGGTTTAGACCCACATTTCATTTTAGATATTGTGGCACTATTAAAGGATTAAATGTTGAAAAGGTCACTGTGTTCTCAGAATGGACTGCTTTCACTTGTTGATAGGTTTATCAGGCTTGGAGTGCTTCTCTCTCTCTCTCTCTCTCTCGCTCACTCTCTCTCTCTCTCTCTCATCTTAACCCTTACTGTAAAAGATCTCGATGCTTCATTGTATCTGCACCAAAATTTGCCCCTGACTTTTTTTTTTTGTACTTTTAAGATGCATATTTAATTTGTGTCAGAGGACCAGTGCTTTCTTACAGCTGATCCAGCATTCTATTTATCCCACCTGATCTCTATCCTTTCAGATATTTGGTCATTACTCGCCCTTGTAAAAAAAAAAAAAAAAAGAAGAAAAAAAAAAGAGCTTATTGAAAGAAAAAGAAATAAAGCAGTTGTGATTTCTTAAATGTACTGTTGATTCTGTATTCTCACTTTGTCATATTAAAATCATGCATCAACTCTTTGTGAAAGCAGAAATTGCGGGGGGGGGGGGGGGGGTTATTCTTGTTGGTGTTGGGCACAGTTAAGAAGAAAACTCCTTCATTCACGTGTTTTGTTTTAAGGGTTTTAAAATCGAATGTTCATCTTGAAGCAAAAATACAAGCGTTTCATGCAGGTGTCCAAGAAACGCACTCAAATATGTCATTTATGGTACATCAGGGTCTCCAACAAAACTAAAGGAGAAACTCAAGTTGACTTAATTCAGGCAGATATCTTGTTCTCGGCTTATTCCCTGCCTCACCATTACGTCTTTAGAAGAAATGTAAACTTTGAATATCTACGCTATCCTCTTTGAAGATGATTAGTTTAACTAAAAGAAGATTGACGTGCAGTTTTGCAGCACATGGTTTCACTGTAACACCATAATATCCTGTTATCTAAATGATACAACGGCACATTAATGCAGAATATTCATTTTTGGATGTTTTGGTGTAAGTTGAACATACCCATTATTTTTTTTTTTGATTTACCTTTTTGTGCTAGTTTGCAAAACCTGTTTAAAGTAAGAAAAAAAAAAGTCTAAAAGCAGAAAAGACTCGAAAGCCAAGAAGCTTTTGTTCCTGCAGCGCTTAAGTTCATGTCTACATTTTAACATTACCTCATTTGTAACGTAATAACTTTTACATTTCATATTTAATGTGAAGAAAAATAAAAGAATATGCTTTGCACTTCAAGTTTGACTTTAAACCCACTTGTAAGTTGAAATGACAGTGAAGTTATTTTTACTCTTTGCTTTTTAATTGTCGTAAAGTCCTTATAGCATACATAAAAATTACAGTACAGGAATAATGCACCTTTTATAATTTTAAACTTTACAACACAGAGCAGCAGAATACCACAAAAAATACACAAAAGCAAAATATGAAGAAAAATGACAAACTTTATACATTGGGGTATCAAAAAACGAGAACTAAAGTAACATTTAAGGTTTCACAAAATGTTCAGTGATTTCCCCCTTTTTTTTTTTTAAATAGTCCTTCAGTCCATGTAATGATTGGATCCATCTAGTTGTTCTATTTCTATGTTTAAAAGTTTTATTTTGGGGTATTTTTTGGTTCCATTTCCATTTGTGAATACGATACTTCCCATACAAAAGAATTAAATTAAGGTGGATATTTTTTACAGTTCATAGGGTTAGGTAATATATTATACAGTATGCACCTGTAAAAAAAAAAAAAAACCCAAAAAACAGGCCAGGTGACGTCAGCAGAAGCAAATTCCAGAGATGTTTTGCAGGACAAAGAAAGCTTGTCTGGTCTGGACGGAGAAAAGTTTCCGCGTCGTGACTGCAGAGTGAGGAAGTCGTCTTTCTCACAGCAGGGTGTCTTTGCATTGTTTGTACCAACAAAGAAAAGTGCCTTTACAACAGATAAAAGAGGTAATTGATCTTTGGTTTGAAACTTTCTCCTGTCTCTACGTTTGATGTCCCGCATATGTCTCGTCTGATGTGTTATCATGTTACATTTCAGAGGCTCGACACTGTTGTTTTAAGTGTGTAGCGCTACTGCAGGGTCGTGTTAATGTAATATATATATATATATATATATATATATACAACTATGACGTGTTATAAAAGCTGAACACATATGGGGGAAGCGTTTTAGTCGCTTTCTTGAACGTCTCTGGCTGCAGCTCCATCATACAAAAACAAAGTAGGCCGACAAAACGACATAATCTTTGTTACAGTGATGCACTTACTGATTAACTCAGTTGTAAAATGTGTCTTTATTGTCACTAATGTTCATCGGTTGTTTTCAAATGTTGAGAGAAATGTATAGTAGCCATAGACTGTAAATATTACTGGACGAACCCTGACCCGTCTGTGACATAGGCAGAAAATGAGTCCAATCGACGGCCGCATCCATATTGGATTTACAGTCTCAACCTAACTTCGGATCAACCTAGCGACAGCAGTAAGGCGGGACCGGCGGGACTTACTCCGCCCATTCAGCTCGACGTTAGCAGTCCACTTGACAGCATAGCTAACAGCTAGGCTGCTATCATCAACTATTCCTGCTCGTCCTGAGAAAACTCTACAAACAGTAAGTTAACATTTTCTACAACACAGTTAAAACGAATTATATTCAACCAAATATTTAATTAAAGTCTTAAAACTACACTTTTTTAAATATACAATATGTTTAGTTATTTGTCAGAGCAGTTAGACTTTGTCAGTGTTAGCAGAGAAATACATTAACAAAGTTTTATCCATAAACTGTAAATAAATATGAGACATCCAGAAGAAATCAATATTACAAAGCATACAGTTCATGTTACTGTTCTGACAAAAAGAGGAATGTCTGTGTTTATATTTACTGATGTCAACAGCGATGAGGTGAACATGACAATTGAAAAATAATTATTTAGTATTTATTATAAGACATTTGTTTTCTATTGAACCCGTGAAGTCATGGAGTCTGTGGACAGTGTCAGCTTCACACCAAAAACTTTAAGTATTAGAAAAAATAGTGTTTAAGACTGGCATCTATTATGATGAGTTGCAGCTACCTTGTTCAATATTATTCCTGCAGATGTGGCTCATAACAAAAAAACAGCCTGAGCTGTCACATGTAGTTAACTGTACATTTTGTTTGTCTGAGGCATTAATTGAACACCTTTGTATTTCTCCTATAGACACAGTGTGGATTATTGGTGACTGGTCCGTCGAGGTGCCCAGAGAGCTGCAGAGACAGAGGAAGAAACCTGAGCCTCAACAACATCTGCATTTGTTGGTTCTTCTGGGGTGGACTTCAGTTGCTTCTCTTCAACAGCTCGCTGTGAGGGAGGTCTCCCCCGGATGGCCTGAGTGATGTCACCCACAGGCTGAGAGCTGAGCGGGTTTTAAGCCTTTGACAAACCGTTACACCGCGCCCACCTGTCAAGCTGGTCAGCTACACGCCTTATTGTGAATAACTCTTATCCTTCATCAAAACATTCACCCCCCCGTACAGTGTGTGTCCATCGAGACATGAGCTAATCACACCTATTTGTTTGTTTTGTACCAAGCTGTAAACATGTTATCTCTGCTGTAAAAACAGACTTTTTTTAATGTTGTTTTTCAGATTAAATAAATATTTCTATATAAATGCACTCCTTTATGTCTACTTATGAGTATACATTTCAGATTAATGCTCAACTCAATAGCTTAGGGAAGGAAGTCTACTTTTACACAACTTCTTATTCTTTTGATAAATACTAATGTAGTTCATTTCTGAAAGTGGGATGGAACAGAGTCATTGCAAAAATTGCCCTTAAACACAGCCCCATTCTTAAATCAAGATACATGGAGAGTAAATAAGATCAATAACTTGTGAATAAAAACACAGTTAAAAATGATTTAGAAATGTAGTCTTCCCAGATCAATATCACATAATATCAACTTCTCCCATCTAAACTGGACAAAGGGTTTTAAAATGGGAAGAAAATAGTTTGATTGCAAGTTGTTTGGAGGAGATCTAGTTTTATTTGAACAGCATGAATACAGTCTTCCAAGGTGCAAACCCTCCTCCTCCTCCTGAAGCCTGTGGAGCTCCTTCATGTACTGCTGTCTTATCTGCTGGCCATCTTCTCTCAGCAGAACTTTGACTGTTGAAAAGTCATTCAGAAGAAGCTCGAGCATGTGACATGGATCCAGGAGAACATGGACTTTTAGTGAGAGGTCTTCAGGATGACAAAGAAAGAGAGAAAATATCAGTTATTCATTAAATCATTTTGTTTGTTCTCATCTATTTTTCTGTATTCATCTGTGTGTAAGAGCACATTTATAAATTCAACAGTGTACTACCCAGACAACAAAGGTACAGTATTCAGGTCATCAACATCTATTCAAAGTTAAGAAGATAAACATTATTGTAATCATCATCTCTCACTCACACAATGATATTCCACATCAGATTGTCTCAGATTTTGTGTGAGGAAAAATTAAGCAGTTTATTGTGGATAGTACTTCATCTTAACATGAAACAAATATAATCTGAATTATTTAAATCATTAACAGGTCCCAACTCTCTGTGCTTTAGTACAGAACATACAGTAACTCATTTATTATTAACATGAGCTCAGTACATGGCTGTATTCTTCAAACTATTTCTTATACTTTATATCTATGTGCTTTAAATCTTATTTTCATTCCATATGTTATTTATATTTTATATTTCTACTGCTATATTCTGTGTATGAGTTCAGTGAAAATTAATATGGTTATTAATATAGTTCTTAATGGTTACAGATGCTCTTACAAAGTGAAGTTTTTTAAAGTTGTTAACAGTTTGCTCAAATCTTAAGACAGCACATTAGGTTCAGTTCAGTTTATGTTACTGACGGATAATTACTACACACAGTTTGTTTTTTAATGTCCACATTTACGTGGAGTATAACATTCATCATAACATCAGATAACCACCGAGGTGAACCTTTAGCTTCTAACATCACACAAACTCATTATTTTCAACAACAACATCTTAACAACAAACATTTCTAAACCATTGACCGTAAATAATGTAAATAATGAGCTACACAGTTAGCCGACTGGTTTACAAGCTAATGCTAAACAAGCTAGGTCCGTAAATATAAACACATGAGTAAGCAGTAAATATAACACTACTATATCACTTACCGAAAACAACTGAAGCATCAACTTGTTGGATGGTCTGTTAACCGCACAGCAAGCCGTGTATGTTGTCAGATATGTGTTAAAAAACTCTCCAAACGAAGTAAGAAAGAGGAGAAATCAGACGGATCAAGCTGTTAGCCTCCTGACCTGCTGACCTGACAGACAGATGCAGCGCGCACAGCTGTCAATCAAATCTGACACAACCAAATATGGGCATAGTCGTTTTCCTTAATAGAATAAAATCCGATGAGTTATAAAAAAATTCACCCCCCCCACAGTGTGAGGAGAAGGGGCCGTCAACTTCTCAGATACATCTCGTTTTTTGAACCAGGCTGTAAACATGTTGATTCCTGTGGTAAAAACGGGCTTTTTTGGCTGTGGGCTTGTGGCACTTCCGGCGCTTCTGCAGCCAGCCTCAAGCGGAACCTCGAGGAACTGCAGTTTTTTGTACTTCCGCATAGGCTTCATTTTTCGAGACCGGAGGTTGCCCCTTGATAGTAGCCTATCTAAAATCTGCAGAAGAGAAGATTCCCCCCTGGAGGAAATTTGCATTTGACAAAAAGAGGACTGTGTCTCCCCCTGGTGGTTGTACAGTGTACTGAACTCTTCATAAGGACAAGTAAAAGATAAAGATAAACTTTATTGAACCTTGTGAACTCATGATTTGGGTCATTAGTTTAATGACAACATGCTGCCTACTTGATTGTCTTTTATTTACGTGTCATGCATACAAAGTGCTGACCCCTCATGGCTTTACAGAACACCAGGACTACAGTGTCTGTGGTTCAACACATCATAACATTACAAAGCTGCATGCTCTTAAATGTTGTACAGCAACACATAGAGCTGCACTTCAGAAGTACTCGATCAAGCTTGATCCAAAGACAACTGGATGACTGAGAACCTACACAGACTACCAGATCAGTTGATGCTAGTCTGTCATTTAACCATTTAACAGGTTTTTTTTCTGCCGCTTGAATTTTTATATTCAGTATAATTGTTTGTTGCTGGTCTGTTTTTTAATCCACTAATCGTTTTCCGTTTGCTACTGTAACTACTTTTAAGCCACTTCTTGTGACTACATTTAATGTCATGTCTCAAAAGCCTTATGTTGCATCAACTGACTTGGCGGGATCTACACCGGTCCCCATTTCATAAACCAGTATGTTTCAGTCCTCTTTAAATACCAGTGTGTGTTTTTACAACCCAGAATGACGACAAAGAGCAGAGTGAGGCCCGATGAAGGCTTGATGATGATGCAGGAGCTCGACGATCGGCTGAAAGAGCAGATTGACAAAATGGAACACGTTCGCCTTGCCGCGGTTGAACTTAAGGACAACTTGTCATGCGTAGGTTACAGAGGCCAAAAAAACCCTCATGTATTATAAAAACTGTTCAACCAAAAACCCAGTTTCCTTGAGTCTCTCTTCTGCTTTTCTTCAAACACAGAGCAACGGTGATCTAAGCCAGTCCATCGCTGAACATCTGGAATGGTTGACTCACTTGTCAGAGCGAGTGGAGACTCTTCACATGAACACGACAGTTTTTGTTCAGGTGAGAAATGGAAAGTTATTCTGTGGTTTTGTTCTTGTTTGAGGACGTGTACCATGCAAGCTTGAAACTGACTAGAACATGATTGATATCAAAACTAGATTTGGATGCAGGTTTTTTTTTTAGAACATCTTAAATCTTGTGTTCCAGATGAATCCCAAACCTCGGGCATGGGCAGGAAAACAGGGTTCCAAACACGGCTACCGCTTGGGACGTCTCCACCAGGCCGAGGACGCCCAGTCGGAGTTCGGCTGGTCCCCCATCCGAACGCGACGAAACAGTGATGCTGCCTCTGAAATGTCTTGTAACTGGTGACCTGCTAGATTGTGGCTTCCAGATCGACTGAGCTTGCAAAATACTTTTCAAACCCCAAATCTTTGCACATATATTTTTTACAGAAACATTTTCACTCCAAGTTTCAATTAAGAGTAAAACTAAACATTTTTTACAAGTCCTGTATTGTTATGTTGTTGATCAAACAAGATTTTTAATAAAATCACAGCTGTCAAATGTCAGTGTACGTTTAACTTGTGTGTGAAATTGTGCAAAATACATCTATTTTTAACATGTTTGTAAAATGATAAACATTTATCATTTAATTTAGGTGAAGTCTGTACTGTATTATTCAGATTAAAGCCTTTAAAGCCAGATTAAAGTCTTTTTAAAGCCGTTTTTGTTTGATAATGACGACTTATAAGATGGTTTCTATACTGATTAGAGCTCTCAAGAACTGACCTCAATGTTGTGCTTTGCCTCTGGTCACTTCCTGTCAGCACCTGTGTGTCCAATCAGACTCAAAGCTGATCGTTTGCTCTTACTGACATTGTTCCCTTTTTTCTAGATCCTTGCTTGTTTTGTACTTACTCTCTGATGTACGTCGCTTTGGATAAAAGCGTCTGCTTTTGAAAAAGTGAATTGTAGAATTAAAGCCAAACTATGTTTTAATGGAAGCCCATCTCTACTCGGAAAGAAATATGAAAATTTTGGGGCGCAGGTGACCTAGTGGTTCAGACAAACCCCAAGTACGAAGGATATTCCTCAAAGCTGGCTGCCCGGGTTCAAGTCCTGTAGCTCCTGTACAACATGTCACTCCCCACTCTATCTCTTGATTTCTAATTCTATCAACTGTACTCTCTAATGAAGAAAGTAAAGCGCACAAATAATTCTTGTAAGATTGGGTAATGAGAAAAATATATTAATGGTGAAACATGATCATGCGATAAAACACCTTAATTACGAGATTATTTTTTAAATGATAATTCAGATATTTAAATCAACAAGTCAGACTTATTTTCATTTTATTCAAGTTTAAGTTGAATTCTTGTTTTCATCTTGATTGAACAAATTGATGTTTTGTCACAAAAACAAAGACTAAGGGTTATTGTGTTGACTGATGTAATGTGCGTTTGAAACGGGCGACCAGTATGGAGGACTAAAAGTGCCAAAATGAAATATATAAATATATAAGTAATTAAATCATTAAATGTGTCATCAATTATTTAAAATTAAATAAATCAACAAATATATAAATAAATATATAATTATTTAATTAATTAAATGCATGTGTTGTTAAATAAATATTAGTATTTGGTAAATTTAAAATTGGTAATATATAAATAAATAATTTATGAAACACATAATTAATTAAATAAATGTTTAATTAATTATTTAAAATATTAATTCAATTTATGTACAACCACATTTAATCATTTTACTATTTATTTAATTATTTCACTATTTATTTAATCATTTCATGGTCCCTCCATATACCAGGCACTCCGGGTCATCAGACCAGCCTGTGTGTATGTAGGTCAGTATGCTCCGCGGCTCCACCGGTAGAGGGCGCTGCTGGACACCCCTCTGTTTTGTAACTGTTAATCACCGTTTTAAATAAAGCTTTGGCAGAACGCGTGGGTGATATTTCTAGAACACGCTGAAGTGGCACTACGGAGCTTTTTTTTGAACACACAGCGTTGAACTTATTTTTGTATTTTTATTAAACCCGACGGGTATCGAGCATAACCCCCCCCCCACTGAAAACAATGGCAGAGAGCGACTGGGACACCGTGACTGTGCTGAGGAAGAAGGGCCCGACTGCGTCCCAGTCCAAGTCCAAACAGGTTAGCACGAGTCCGTCGTTGTTTCCTGTTTGTTTTGAGGCAAATTCTCCAACATGCGTCATTTTAATCAATCCAAAGATGATTGTCGACACTAAAATAATGTGTTTTGTGTGTGTCAGGGACGTAAAAATACATTTTTTTTGCGTGTGTTAAAGCTATCTTTTAGACAGTGAGCAAATAGCCCTCATGTAGCTAACAATACACGTCTAACCGGAAAGTGATATCTTGGCTTAAATTCAGCTTTTCACAGGTGATTAATGTGTGCTGGTTGTTTGGTAATGCAATTAGGTACACAAAAGGTAATTATGTGATTGGGTGTGTTGAAAGCTGTACTGCAACCCAGAAAATAAACAGTGTAGTGCAGTGTAACTTCAGGTGATTGGAGACTAATGTGCTAAAACAAACATGAAACAACTCACTCAAACTACAGGAAATAATATATGTGGAAGGTATCAAATCAAAAATCACGATTAATTCAACGTTTTAGAGTCATGAACGATTGTTTCGGTTTTGTTTTATTGCCCTCTTAGTTCACTAACATGGTCTCTTTTGTAAATATGCTCAACCTCTTAAAGGTGGGATTTATCAAAGAGTGCATGTCTGATTTTTATTTTCTGGTTATTTATTGAATGTTTCAATCCATTGCTTTAAATTAAAACGACACATTTGAGTTTTAAAGTAGAAATTAACTTCTCTAAAGTTGGAGAAATGTTTCAGATTCTGTGGTTTATGTTCATAACTTTATACACAAACTGTCCTCAGAGGACACAACAGTGAAACAGTAACTCTCAGGGGAACTTTTATTTTTATAGCTCCAAACAGATTTACAGGAACCCATGTTTCCCTTTGAGTAAGATTGTGTATTTAGTTTAGATAATAAAACATAGATTGTTTCACTTCGGCTTGCCTCTCCCTTGCTCCCTATCCCTCTTCCTGCATCTTATCCCATCTCTCCCCCTATCCCCTTTCCAAGCCCAGTGTAGTCTAGACCTGTGAAGGCTGTTTCGTCATGAGCCGGGGATCCAGCCGAAGATGTCTGCCTTTTAATTAGACAGTTTTTTCTCTTACCACTGTAACTTTTGCTGCTTTGCTAAAGTGCTCATGATGGATATGTTGGGTCTTTGTAACAATGAGTAAGGTCTTTTTACCTGCTTTTTGTAAAGGGTCTCGAGATAACGCTTGTTATGAGTTGACGCTATACAAATAAAAATTGATTGATTGATTGATTGACTTCTCCAACTTTAAGATTTCACAACTAAATCTACATAGTGCACCTTTTAAAGTCCAGCCCCCGCAGTGTCTGTAAGGAATAAAGCTGGCCGTTGTACAAATGTATTTGATGACCCCTGCTCTATAATGTCACACTGCACATAAAAAAAGAACCAGTTTTATTACGTTATGTAAGTCTGTTTGGTAAACAATGTCAGCCGGCCATTACGTTCAGGGGCAGTAATTGTTCATGGTATCTTCTGTTTGACTTATTGCACCAGCTTTGATAAGCAGATTGGTCATTTATTAACTCGATGATTTGGTGAAAGGAGCCTGAGTAGAGCGACATGAGCATGGCCAGACTGCAAGCTGCTGTCACTAAATCTGATATACATATTTTTAAATTCAAGATTTGTACTTGTCCATCTTTTCTCTAGGCTATCGCCTCTGCTCAGAGACGTGGGGAGGACGTTGAAACAACCAAGAAATGTAAATTTGTTTTTATATTTTATATTTACTATTTGGGATAAATAGTTTATAGCGACCGAATTTTGATAAATTTCAAAGATTCAATTCTTCTTCCAAGTTGTCGCTCCTGTATGAGAAACACGACGAGCCATAACTGAGTTCGATGGTGTCTACTACACTGTTTGATGCCCCACATATAAATGTATCACACAGGGTCTGCAGGGCAGAACAAACAGCATGTTTTGACCAGGAACACATCCAAACTGGACCGTGAGACGGAGGAGCTGCACCATGAAAGGGTTCCCCATGAGGTGGGGAAAGTCATTCAGCTGGGCAGACAGGAGAAAAGCCTGACCCAGAAAGACCTGGCCACTGTGAGTATTGAAAAAGAGGCTTTTTGTCTTGTTTTGTAAGCAGACAGTAAATATTAGATGTGATCTATGTGAGGTAAGGTAAGCATTCAGAAGTGCATTGACTGAAAGCAGGAAGTCGTTTGATGTGTTTCCCAGCCATAAAAGAACTCATTAGGCACAGCGCTGTAAAACTAAAGGCATGAAGACGAGACATCTTTACTAAGACCGGATGTGTAAAATGTTCTGCACTGCCTCACTTAACTATACATATTCAGAAACATTGCAAGACATCTACTTCTGTCATTTATAATTCAATAAACATGATAGAAAAATAAAAACAGTACTTGGCAGATAACGAGAACAAACGTTTTTACAAATTAGTCAACTGTGTTTTGATCCAGCCAGCCAAACATAAACCTGTGCTAACATAAAAACCACCGCTTGTAATTAGTTGAAGGATTAAATGTCAACAAGATCCTTTCTTCTGGCTAATTGTTTGATTAAGTCGTGGTATTGCTGTTGCCCTGTTTATCAATCCAGTCTTGTTTTCTTATGTCGCCTCTACGTTATTATTTCTGGTTTATGTGGTGTGGATCTGCTGGCTGTTACACAAATAACACTCAGGCAGATATTATTGATACTTGAGGCTCAGGTCATTTCAAATCGTGTTCAGTTTTCTGCCTTGACATCAACAATCCGGCCCCTGAGAGGCAATGGATTCCCAGTTCATGTGCTGAAGAGTAGATTAGCTGTTATTGGGCCTTTTTGGATTTAAACAATTCTAATTTTTTATTTCATGATGTTTCCCTCCAGAGAATTAACGAGAAGCCTCAAGTCATTGCAGACTACGAGTGCGGGCGAGCGATCCCAAACAACCAAGTCCTGGGCAAGATAGAGAGAGCAATCGGTAAGAAAACGGCTCTCTGTTTTTTAATCGTCATATTTTTTGTTTTGTTGTTATTAAATTCTCGCCTGCCAGTTGTTATACCCTCGTGTTCCTCGTCTGTCACAAACAGGGCTGAAACTGCGCGGGAGGGAGATTGGACAACCCCTGGAGGCAAAACCCAAAAAGAAATGAACACAAAGCCTCGAAATCAGCCCCCCCTCTCCCCCCCTCTCCCCCCCTCCAGGTCCCTTTATTCCCAGAGACTGTCTAAAACCTGAACCTGTCTCTCTCCCTCCCCCCTCTCTCTCTCTCCTGCATCCCTCCCTCTACCTGGGCTGATCTCACCTGCGTCCTGCCTGAGGACCTGGTGCTCCACTGCATCGCAAGCTGCAGACTGACAAGTCATCTTAAACACTCTCTCTCTCTCGACACACATAATCTAATGAATGATTCAATGCATCACAAACTCTGAGGCTCTGTGTATTTCTTTGCACTCATGTCTGCTTAGGCTATGGCATGATGAATTCCACCTTTTTGATAGTGACGTTAAATCCTTAAAAAAAAGAAAAAGGTGGGATTACTTTTCATGACCGATCAGACTACTTTGACTAACGTTGATTCTGAGCATGATCTAAAGCCAAAAGTGCTTGATTGCAATGTTTTTTTTCACACACTTCAGACAGTGGGTGAATGTCATTTCATTTTTTAAAATGTTTTTATGCTGTGCTTTGTTTTGATTTACAAATAAAGTTTGGCAACTCACGACATTTCTGGGTGTCCTTTAATCGAGAATACCGTAGAGCAGGATATCACACAATAAAGTCCTGACATCTCAAGTAATTCTGGAATATTTATTATCATTAACAACTGATAAACAACACAATGTTAATGTGTGTACAATGACACTGTGTACAAGAACTTACACCAGCATTTAAACCAAAACAAACTGCTGCCTGGTGACACCTCGGCCATACTGAAGCCTCCACTCTCCTTCAGTAGCACACCTCCAACCCCTCTCCATACACAGTTATCAATTAGAACGCACCATAATTAAGCACCAATAAGCAAAAAAATTGTCCTTAGCTCAATCTGCTGATTCCCTGTGTCCTGCATTGTTGTGTTAGCAGGCAAATGTTAGCACACGTTGGTTAACTCAGCTTCATACAACACAGACATTGACAAAGTAACCGCGATCTAAAGACACTTTAGAAATCAAATAAGCAGTGACCAAGCTGTGTTATTCTTCTTTTCTCCTGTTGTTGACTTAAACAGCTTTATACACACACACCGTCCCGTCCATCATGTGAACAGGATGTAAACACGACTCTACAGCAACACAGCTGGCAGGACTCAGGCCTCTCCCTCATTGGAGGCAGTCATAACTCAGAGACATTTACAGAGGATATACTTGATTTATGTTGTATGTGTAAGATGTTGCACATTCTGCCTTTAAAATGTAAAAAATAAATAGCAATTTTGATCCACTCCCACCCTCTACCCAGTTAGGAGGAAAAAAAATCTACATTGACCTGCCAGTCGACTGTAGTTGTAATATTTAGCCACTAGATGTCAGAATACTTCCAGATATATGAGGCTGATAGTTGCAGTATTTAGTTTGAAACTTTGTGCTGCAGAAAGATTATGTGCAAGCCTGATAGAAAGTCCTCAGTAGAAGTGCTGAACATCCTTTTTTTTTCCATCTTATAAGTAATGTATAGCTGTTTTTATTTACATTTCAAAAGCTTAAATATCTCCCTACAAGTTAAATCTATACAACTGCCAATGAATGTACAGATTGACAATGTAAACAACAACAGTGTAAATTATGTATTTAAGTGTTGTTTTTTTCAGGGATAAAAAATGTTCTGGCATGTGCAATGTTTAGAATGACCTATGCCAAAAGCTAATCTAAAAATGAACCACGTCTGTTAAATGAAGCTGTCGTCACCCATCAAATGTTGAACACTTTGCTTGGACTGACCTTGAGCAAGCTTAGCTTTAAGCAGCTCTCCTTCGCAGTACTTTTCCTTCCTCTGCAGTGCACCTCTTCATACCATGGGTTATTGATTTGAGGATTGTTTTTAAGGCTGCCTTCTGTTTTATTAAAGATTCATGGACCTCATTGTTGCTGAATAACAAAAGCAGCGAAGGGGACTTGAGGAGGGGGAGTGAGTGCAAGTGGGGCAGAACACACTCGAGCTCAAGGACTTGGAACATGATTCCAACAATACAGCACGGAGGGGTTGTATTGACGAGAGCTTTGAAGGCCGGTGGAGTGTGAAGGACTAGGAGGGAAGCCGAGGAAGTCTGAAGGCTGAACGCTGGGATAGTTTGTTCAGCTCCTACTCTACTGCTGAACTTAGAAGTCAGGAATGGTCGCAAATTAACATCCTAGATCCTCCTGTTAGACCTTTATATTCTCTGACAAGGTTCCTGTAACATACTGGGTTGTACTGTGGGTAATATTGTGATATGTTACTGAAGCTTGGGGATTTCAAAATGCCACCACACGGAGACAAAAGACGAGCATGCGGCATTCAACCACGAGGTCCTCTGTCCTGTGTAACCTCTGCAGAGCCCTACGGTGCAATCTCTACTTTGGGGAGATAAGTCTTGCGTATTGCCTGTGGCCCATCTGCCAATCAATGTGGTTGTCATTAGCAACTCAAATTCAGCAGGCAGCAGATCACACCTGGGGGAGACTAACTGCTGTGACTTTAATTGTCCATGTGAAGTAAAGAACTTAATTACTTAGAGAGACTGCGTCGTTCATAAACGATACTTACCTTTTTGATCCTCTAAATAATTTACATTAACTGAAATAAAACGTCAAAACAAGGCTTTTCAAGAAACGACATCCAGCTGAACCCTATTGTATGTTTGAAAAAGTACAATATAATTAAAAAAATGTTTTAGAGAAAATGTTTTTAGGTCCCAACATCTTCCATAACTGTACTGTTGTTGTTGCCGTATCCTGTAGATTTTGTTCTGTTTTTTTAATTACTTTATTGCAATAATTAGATTCAACATTCCTACTGTTTCTTTAGAATAAATTGCAATAGTTTTCCCTTTTTTTTATTAATTCAATTGGTAAACAAAAAGCTACAAAAATAGAAAATAATTCATGACAACACTACCACAAATAGGCTTGTGACTACAAGACTTGTGAAAGCAATAAAAGAAAGGGGAATAGAGAAGGATTTATAAAGGCTAAAATCGGCAGAGATGGGGAATCATTTTGTCCACAGGGGGGCGCCAAAATCAACAAACTAAAAGTTTCTCACTGGAGCTTTAAAGGCAGAATGTGCAACATCTTACACATCAATATGTCAGAAATGAAGTTTATCCTGTCTAAATGTCTCTCTGAGTCATGACTGTCTACAATGAGTAAGAAGCTTGAGTCCCGCCAGCTGCACTGTTGTTGGAGCTGTGTTTACATCATGTTTACATGAACGGGACGGCCTTGTGTATAAAGCTGTTTTAGTCAAGGACTAGAGAAAAGAAGAATAACATACTCACTGCTTATTCAGATGTCATGTAAGTGCCTTTACATCACGGTCACTTTGTGTCAATTTATGTGCAATGTGAAGCTACGAGCTAACCAAAGTGTGCTAATATTAGCCCGCTAACACAACAATGCAGGACGCAGGCAATTGCAGCTCAAGCAAAGGACAATTTTGTTTTCCGCTTGCGCTTAATGGTGCTTAATTATGGTGCATTATGGTGCGCGAGTGGAGAGATGTTGGAGGAGAGTGGAGGCTTCAGAATAGCGGAGGTGTGGCCAAACAGCAGTTTGTTTTGGTTTCATGCTGGAGCTCAAGGGCGACATCTACTGGATCAAAAAGTCACACATTCTTCCTTTAAGCATGTTTTAAACATACAAGTAACTAAAGGAACGAACCAGAATTAAAGACTAATTAAACCTATACTGAAGACGAAAACAAAAGGTCAAAAATAAACAAAATAAAACTATAAATTAAAACTACATTAAGCCGTCTGTCCTGACACATGTTCTCACAGCAGAGGTTTTATCTTGTAATATTAGGAGGAGCAGCAGCAGTGAGTGTATTACCTGACCGGGCAAACAGCTGGAGCGAGGGGCGATGAGGTGAAACATGGATTTAGAACAGCTAGGACACAGACGGTGGACTTCCCTGCAGCTGACACACATCTGCATTTGGGTCCTTCTGGGCTAATGTCAAATCTCACACCACTGTATTATGATGTGCATGTTTTTTTTTGTGTGTGACAATTTCTCGATGGCTTTCCTTAAACCAGCTCAGCCAGCCAACAATAACCATTAAATATTCAGAACATTAATGGGGTGAATACATAATAATGGGTGAAACACATGGATGGTAACTCAGCACATGGTCATTTCAGCACACTGTATGCTTTCATGCTGATGGTTTCAGAACATGTTTTCATTGTTTTTCCAAGTAGCTGTTGACATTTGCTTATAGATATGTTTGCACCTTTATACTGCAGGGTGCATTTATGTATCCAAAATCATACAGTATCCCACCACCTGGTATTAAAGAAGTAAAAGAAGATGATGTGGTTGATTGAAAGTACGGAAACACACTTATCACCAAAGATATACAAAATATTCTAAATCTGTGCATGTATTTAAAATACTATTTGTGTTATTTTCCATGTTTGGTCGCTCCTTTCAAGTGCAATAAATAATCTCTGGAGGTCCAACAGCATGGCAGATTTTTAGAGTGTATGTTTCCTTTAACTGTCTGCTGTGTTTCATATTAGATTAAGTCTCCCACAGTAGGTTGTTGAAGCTTTCTTTCGTGCTTAAGCTGCGGGAGGTTTAGTTCGTTGTCTTTTGTTTTTTGTCTCCTCGGGTCCTGCTCTGAAGTCGCTGTGCTGGGATGCATATTTGCTCGGATAAAGTATGCAGCCTCCTGACCGACCGGTGTGCTCACTGGACAAACAAAGACCGAAGCCTTGCTGTTGTTACCAGGGCGTTATTTGGATTCCTGCTCAACAGGCTGCTTTACTCGGTGAGTCTGAGTGTGTGTGTGTGTGTGTGAAAGAGAGAGGGAGACAGAGACCGGCTGCGTTCCTGGAAATGCCACTCCATTGGTCAGAACACCATAGCAACATAGTTCCACCTATGACAAGGGAGCAGCCAGTGGTTTTGAAGGGGCGACGTGAAGCAGAAAAGCTGCATGTGGGGGGGGGTGGAGGCTAGTTTTGGGTGGGTGGGGGGGGTTAAGTCTGGGGTCTGTTTTGCCCTGAGGCTCCAAACTCAAATTGAGATTCCACAACATGTTCAACCTGTTGTGTTGTCTGCATCAGTCACTACAGAAGAAGCTTTCTCTTGACTTTCTCTGTTTTCCCCTCGTAGTTCGGTACCTCTCTGTAGTTACATTTACTTAAAGATGGCATGAGTTCTTCAATCCTCTCACAATGAACTAAGATAGTTTATTTACATACTTAAAAACTGTCTCATTTTAAAATATCCTTACATTGCTTTTTAGGAAAAAAGTTAGGAACAATAATGTATTCACTTGCTATGTTATATATCCTGATCAGAATGG